AGACCACCCTTCATTTAATTAATTTTCAGTCAAAACGGCCATGAATATAAAGAAACGTGTATATATATATATATATATATATATATATATATATATTTTATAATTAATAATGGACAACTACAAAGAAGTCTCAATAACTAAATGTAATATCTCTAATATTTTTTATAAGACGCTGAAATCTGCAGGGATATTTTTTCACATCTCCCAAGTTCAGTCTTAGAAGTTGGTCGCATTTTCTGCTTCTCATAATCCAAGTAAACCCAAACACATTGAATGACGATGAGGTCAGAGCTCTGGGGTGGTCAGTTCATTGTTCTGAGGACACCAGCAGCTTCTCTGATTTGAAAGACAGAAGCAAAAGTGGAGCTTGATTTTCTCTCAAAGATATAAGGTTTTAAGTACTGTTGGAGGGTGACGGTTTTGGTGGTCTACCAGGTCTTGCATGGTTGTTATGAGTCTCATTTTCTCCACGTCTTTTAATAATTTTAATAACTTCTGTTTTGTAACCTCATTTTTTTCCTTTGACTTTTCCCTTTCTCATGCAAAGGACTGTCTTATATCTAATCTCAAAAATTTCCTGAGAAAAGATTAACTTGTACTTAGTTGCTGTTTTGACTGGAGATTAAATAAATAAACCTTGGTCTCTGATCTTAGCACAGTACTGCATGTTGTAAGTTAGACGGACGGATGGACGGACAGATAGACAGACAGATACTTAATTGATCCCGAAGGAAATTTAGCATGTAATTTGTAATTGCAATGTGCAGCCTTACAGCACTGTACCGATCTGTTTGTCCTGCCCCTTCCCTGCTTGTAATTAGCCAATAAGTCAGGTCAGGTCTCTTTGAGCAGGGAAAACATTAAGGATCTGCTTTGATTTTGGTGAGGATAGCAGGCTGCAAGTCAGTGTTCAGGGACAATGCATCCTCACAGCCTGCCAGTTCTCAAACTGTTCAGCTTTGACAGCACCACTGACTGGCTAATGCAAAAATTACTTGGCATTGTGGTGGCACACACTGCCAGTCTGCACTGTGTCAAGGCAGGTCAACGAGTTAATACAATACAGTCAGATCAGCTCAGGCAAGAAAATTCTTCGAAAAGAAGCAAACTGTTAGGACAGTCAGTACAAAGGAACAAAAATTAAAAGGAAATTCCATCAATTGTTCATCATTTCTGCATAATTTCAACGCTGAGATGTAAACAAATTCATTCAGAGTGTGCACTGTAGAGAGTCTTTACAGTGACGGTGATAGGAATCAGGGGTCGTAATGCCTACAATGCAAATATAGGCACTTCATTTACTGTCCAAATTAACCAGTGAAACTACATGTCTTCTGAGTTTTTATATGCCGTGAGGATCACGGTAAAATGGTGGTTAATACAAAACTACAAATTTTCTTCTGGGGCTGTTTTGTCTTACAATGCCTGCCATGTACCTCTCCACGTGAGTGGATTTAAAAAAAAAAGATTTCAGGCAAAAGTCGTCAGTCATCAGGCAATATGTTTATCAGCGTTTTTGGAAAAGAGGTAGTTTTCAGAGATATGACATGCTTCGGACGTTTGCTTCCTACCATCAACCACTCAATGACTTTGTTCACATTTTGCTTAATTATGCAGGAAGTTTGAAAAAATGGAATTCCTCTGTGAAAATAAAAAAAAAAACCCACTGTACTGAACACAAAAGAAAACAATATAATGACAGCATTAAGATATTTTGTGAAGAACAATAGTTTTGAAATGATAATGCTCATCCCTTCTAAAAAAAAAAAACAAAAAAAACTTTATTGCATGACAGTTGGACAGCAACTTTTGCAAAAGTCATTTTTTGCAAAAATAACTGCAGAGGGTTGGATTTCAGCTTGAGTTCCTGTTTTAATTTGAAGGCTTTTATGCAGACTAAAATAACCTTGGCCATATGACCTTGACAGCCAACATGTTCTGTACTGGTTCTATCGGTGGAACAATGTAACAATACTGATGACGTGGGCCGAATAACAATCAAATGTGGATGATAATAGTTGAAATCATGCGGCTATGATTCATTTCTTCACTCGTGTTGAATTAAAAGGATTTTGTGAAAACAAACCTATAAAATAAAACACCAAGTGGAGCAAAAGAGACATATTAAACAAAAGTAAGTGGTTGAAATGTGCAAAACGTTCACGGTACATTTCTATGTTGCACTGTGTCCCAATTACGCACAATTTTTCAGAAACAAAATCCACGTACAGTCCAGTTTGCTTGAAAAGTGGTTAAGATAGAGGTTTTAGACAGAAAGTTTTCGCTGCTGTTTATAAAACACCATATCGGCACAAAACACCTGTGTGAAATACCTGTTTAAAGTGCACCATTGAGAAACAATACTTAAAAAAGGAAAAGAACATGTACTTCTGAAATAAAGAAAAATAAAGAAAATTCTCTTTCAGTTTTCAGCATCTGGTAATAAACTATGCTGAAAATTGTTGGTTTTCCAGGATAACTTAAGATTGATGTCAATAAGTACATTCAAAGGAATAAAATATTTAGCACTGAAGCTGTTATTCTGAGCGATGACTTTGCTCACTATTCACATATTGCTCCATTCCCGCAATTCTCACTATTTCAACAACTCTTTATATTCTAAATATCCATCTGATATATATCTATAGAACATTCTCTAAGCCATATACAGTGATGTTAAAATAAATTCATTCAATACAATATAGAAATATGAATATGATAATTAAACCTCAACATTTCTTTGCAGTTTGGATACTAAATCTTTTTAGGTCTCCAGCTCATAAAAACTATTTTCTCCATAAAGCTGTGCTTTGATGCCTCTTAAATGACTTCCATCCATATCCTATTACTTCTACCTGATCATTTAGTTCATTCTCAACACTGAAAAAATAAATTAATTAAAAACAAATCAGTAATTCTACTATTAAAGGAATACTCTAGTGTTTTTCAACTCATCATCTGCAGCAAAGACATTACCACAGATTATATGATGCATTTCCCTGTACTTAGAAAAGAGCAAAACCCTTCTAAATCAAAATACATTTACAATAGATGCCACTGGGCAGTTACGTCAATTCTGTCAGTAAGCATTTATGCAAAATATATATTTTTGTACACTGTAACACTTTAATGAATACTAGTTATCCAGAGCAAAGACTATTGGTGGGCGCAACATATTGCGCAAACAACATCTCACAGGTTCCTAGCTCAAAGAATCCTAGTACAGCAACTGTATGGTAACCTGCGCAGTCATGTAAGGTTTTGTTCTGCACTCTGGGTAATTATGGGCCGGTTCAGGTAATTTACGGGGAGAATCGTGTTTATATTTGGGATTTCCCTGATGTGCCTCTTACAGAAAATACAAACAGCGTGGCAGAGAGAAACAGAAGGACTGAGAGGAGAGCAATTTTAAAATAAATGCTGCCACTACTCAGCACTTACAGAGGGAGAGATGTCCAGAAAAGACTGTATGCTTTCTAAATGTAAAGTGCACAAACAGCTCTACACGGCACATGGAACTTGATGTCTTGCATAATGTTCCAGATGGAAAACAATAATAAGAATAAACAGAATTTCCTTGTCAGTAGATTATGGAGAAATCAGGGAAATCAAAGTTGTGACATGAAATTCAAGATGGAAACATGTCGATAGACGAAGCTTATGTGACACGTCTTTTGCAGAAAATGACATCATTATGTAAAGCATTTTTACCACTAAAAGTTCAAGGAAACATGAAGACATTTTCATTGTATCGCTTGCAATTTGTGCAGCAAGTTGCTGGAAATGTAGCTAGTTGCAGTTTTATATTCTATTATAAGCATCGTTCAATTCAACGAGTTTTCAGATCTTTTCTAAGTACCGGTAGATGCGTTGAAATCATCAATACTCATAATTGACGCAGGTGCAGCAGACAGAAATAAGGCAGAAAAACACTTCAGTATCCTTTTAAGATCTCAAAGAAAATGTATAGACTACATTCATATGGCAGGACAGGCAGCTACTGTCCTCAAATTAACCGTACAAAGTCATACAGCAGCTCTTCCTGGACCCTTGGAGATTGTCCCGGTCAGTGCTGCGCGTGAACCAGCGTACAGTGCCGTAGGCAATGTCACACCTGCCATCAGCTGATGGGGTCTGGGGAGAAGAGGCATATGGCGGATCCCTGGGGGCTACCATGTCACCCACCAGTATGAAACACATTACTGACAGAGAAAATGCATCTGCCTGTGGGCACTCTACAAAATTGAGACTGTAGCACAGAGGCTGTGTTCAGCCTTTATAGCCATTTAGACTTGGTTTGGCTTAAGGGAGAAATTTTAGAGCAAATCCCAAAACCACTGGCAACCATCGTGTAGCCCTACCTGATCTAGCTTACGGTACAGAAAACAACCAGCAACCAGTTTGCAAAAATTCATCTCCAGTAGTTTAGCTTCTGTGATTTATAGAGTTAGAACTCACAAGATTTAAATCTTTAACCTGCAGAGTGTTAGAATATGTATGGGAGGCCTAGGCCTCCAGACTGAGGATTCATAATAGAACAAAATCTCCAAGAAAAGAAATAATAATAATAATAATAATAATAATCCTAACAATATGTACCGTTTGTTACAACAATAAAATGCACTCTGTACAATGTAAATATTAAGACACTCATAATTAATTAAATAATCTCCATGAAATATAGAATTATTACACATTGAGTATTTATACATTCTCTGGTGTATAAACTAAAGCTTTACTATTCCACAGATTTCTTTCCCCAACCGATAAATTTACAAATACGTAGATACATATCATCAATGTCGATAAGATATCCAACAGAAAAACTCAACCCATATGTCATGAACGATAATACAAATTCTATCAAATGTGGATGCTTTTTGTTAAAAAACAAACTTGAGACATGACTACCGCCACCTTCTGGCCAGGGGAGCAGCGCTGTGCGTATGGTGTAGCATTCCCCAGGCAGCCTGACGAAGGAAAGGGGACAAGCTGTTCCCCTACAAAGCCGTTTCTTTCAGGTCGTTGAGGTTTGGCATCCGGGGGCGGGTGGGCCTGGCGAAGCCGATGCCGTTCTGCCCACCTTTGCTGGCCATTTGGTCGGGGTAGGGGGCCCCTTCGGCACGGGTCAGGGCCGAGGCATGCCAGCTGGACTCGATCTGCCCTGGCAGAGGGTAGTTGTGGGGCTTGCGGCTCTTGGTGTTGGGGGTGACGCTGCCCACCGGAAGCCCTCGGGCATCAGGCAGATTTGGGGGCACTTTGGGGGCGGGGTTTGGGAGTGGCTGGAAGCGCAGTTCGGAGGAGCGGTCTGGCGGAGGAGGAGGAGGTTGGCTAGCCGGGGAGGAGGAGGGGGGAGAGGAGAGATGCAGCAGCTTACGCAGTGACTTCAGAGGTTGGTTCTGAAAGCAGAGGAAAACAGAAGCACTAATGAGTGTGGATACTACATGTAATTGCAGAGATAAAACAAGACTAAATGAAACAGCATTCTGGATATTAATTTTATTCTTCATTCTTGATTCTATACAGCAGGGGTTCCCAATTCCAGTCGTGGTGACTCCACACTATGCAAATATTTGTCTCATGAAGCGGATGAATCTGATGATTGCAAGTGCATTGAGAGAATAATCAAAGAAAACAGTAAACAAGGACATAAGTGAATTATCTGTCGTTACATCTTCATCAGTTTAATGCTGATCTTGCATTTGAAAGCTTCTTTTTGAGCTGTACCTTCTTTTTGAGACTTTGTGACATTAATATGTAAAGACACACAACATGGTCAGAAAAACTCCTGTGAAATCCAATCTAATGCTTCTAATTTTTAACTGATTATTTGAGGCTTTACAGGAGCGCAGCAGCAGTGCATGTACACTAGGGGTGGGAATCTCTAGGCACCTCACAATTCGATTCGATTACGTTTCAGAGGGCTGTGATGCGATTATAAAACAATTATCGAAGCATCTTGATGCATCTTTTTTCCCATACAGGATTTCTATTTTACTCACTGTGTGACAACTTTGAACTTTTAAAGCAAAGTATTTAATGATTCACGGTGAATTTACTTCCAATATTTTTTATTAATAAATCAAATGGAAGTGATGTGGCAAGTGAACTGGACGGCTCTCATTCACTGCTCTTGTTTGGAGCACATGTGACACTGGCTGCCACTCATCTGTGATAAAATGTGCTGTTACGGTAAAATAAGATCCTGAGGCAGTGGATGTCCACGCAGCAGGTTATAGTTCTCCCACCCGTTTTCTTCAGTGATTTCAAGACTTCAGTTTTGGTTTAGTTGTAGAGAGTGGGGGGGGGGGTTGCTGTGTCAGTAAAATATCTTTGAGACTGGACGATATATCAAGAAAAAAAAAAAGCCCTGGTTCTCAAAGACGGAGTACGGATGCAAATCCTTGGCAATAAAAGTTACGACAGAGTTTGTAGTTCGCTTCGTCCTTTCCCAGTTGGGTGGAAGTTTTGCAATCGCTGGATCGATGGTCCTCTGGTTGGCAGCAACTACAACCGGGTGGAAAATGGATGGATACATGTAATATGGTTTCCCCCTCAACTCCACAGCAGCCAAAGTGCTTCCATACGCTAGCTCAATGGTCGGCAACCTGTGGCTCTTTTACTGGCCGCGTTCGGCTCCACATCAGTATTAGATTTCTAGGTAAAAATAAAATAATCCTCCTTTGCAGTAAAATAAAGCTCTGTGGATCGTTCAAACACAGTTTTAACAATGAATGATCTTAAACGCTGGAATTAATGTAGCCTATAACTGCTAGTTCACCTAGCTAGTAGCTAACGAAAAGGCAAAGAGAAAGATTTAAGATGAACATCGATAATTTGGAGACGAATAGACTTCTTTGCATTTATAATCACTCGAGCTGGTTTACTGATACATTTAATCTGCAGAAAAACTGTCAAACACTAAAAACCACGTGAAACTGAAGTCATTTTCTCGTTCTCCAACTTCTTGTTTGAATTTTCCCGTTCCACCCGTTGCAGCAGTTACATTCTGGCGCCTCAGGCACCATTTAATGAGAAACTGATTTCAGCCTTGTAAAAAGTAGAACATTGAGAGACATTTTACAAGAAACTGTTCTACTTTTGTGGGAAAGTTTCCAGCTGGTGATGCAAGAAAAGCAGCTACAGCTGAGCTAAAGTTTAAAGCAGAGCAAAGTAAGTTTTGTTTGTATTATATTTTTAGCCTACACTAGGACATTAGCAAGTGCTGAGACACATGTACAGCCAAGATGGTAAAATGGACTCAAAATTTTGTGGTTTGATTTTTGTTGAAAAGACAAAATGACTCTTATTAACGCTTGGGTTGCGACCCCTGCACTAGCTTTTAATGTAGTGTGCACGCCACAGACTGTCTGGGCGCTGCACTTCTGCACTTTGTAAAGTTCCGCCTTCTGCGTTCCGTCAACACGGTGTTACCAATTACAATTTAGAAAATCGATTTTTGACATTTCTGAATCGATTCAGAATCGTCCACGTCCGCATCGCAAGGCATCTAAGAATCGATTTCCCCCCCCATGTACATGTCTTTTCTCCTGACACAGTAATGCTACTTCTTTCAACTTTAACTTACATCGTGCAGCTTTAACAAGCCCCTTTTGGTCTTAGTCAGATGTGTGGAGAACACAGCGTTGCCTGGACTTTTTTAACTTATCAATAGCATATTAGACTCATTTTTAACATGTATCTGCAATGGTTTATTGAAACCACTGATTAAAAAATTTTAAAACAGGATTTTAAACTTGTTTGATCAGTAGTGTAGTTATGATGTTATGAAGTTATGACCATTAACATCACTGGTACTGACTACCAACAGTGTTAGAGCTTTTGATGAAAGTATCCTTTAAAAATATCACAATAAGTAAAAAATGGACATAAGGATTAAAGAGGAATTTTACATAAATTCAATATTCCTGCATAATTTAATCAGCAAAATGGTTGTTATAGTGTAGAGGGTACTACTGCTGCTCTCAACATGGCAGTTGTGGGTCTGATTCACTGGCAACAACACAATGCAATATCAATATGAGTCCCTGAGCAAGTTGCTATAGAATAGAACTTCTGTCAAAAGCACAAATACCTATGCATGTCCTCCGACTTTTCATGTAACAATAATAACATTAAAATTGTGGATAATTTGAAAAAGAATCTTACAGTTTTCATTTGGTACCTTTTTTGGCATACAAGGCCCTCCATGTACCTCTCTGTCATGTGTGTTTTTATAAAAATATGTGTTTTATAGCAAAACCTTATCACAAAACTATTGTTAAAAATGTCTCAGTACTGAAACCATTTTGTATAACAGCTTTCTGTAAGGTACCTTTTTAGAGGCATTAAACACTTTGGAAGTCTGGTTCCTATCGCCAACAATGTAAACAATCTGAGTTTCTCTACAACTAGAATGATTCACAATCAGAATTCATATCCACAAACATTCAGATCTACGTCCATCCAGTATCAAACAGCATCTTGCCTGAGGCTGCACATCTGCATGTTTCTCTGTAGGCCAGGTGTTGTCTCTGTCTCTCTCCCTGTCTCGATCGCGGCCTCTTTCTCGATTCCTCTCTCGATCCCTGTCTCTATCCCTGTCTCTATCCCGCTCCCGGTCCCTGTCCCGGTTCCGGTGACGGCTGCTGTGATGGGAAGAGGATTTGACTGGTCTCTGGAGTATGAGCTGGTCCTGCTGGCCCTCAGCTGGAACCTAACACACATGACCATGCAGAAAACCAGTGAGCAAAAGCACAATAACAATCGATACGCTCTACGGTTCCTAGGATGAGCGTCCAAAACCACAAAAAACGTGCACGAGGCCAGAAGGCTGGGGGCGTACTAAAATTCCCTCTGCAAACTCTCTTTATAGGAATACTGTGTGAAGATCAAGTTCAATATTATACACATGCAACTTGTTAGGAGACTTCACATGATACTGAAGAGGAAAAGCTAACTAAGCTATGTAGCTGTAGTATATCAGCATTCAGAAAGTACTGAACATTAGACTGACTGGACTATTAGAACACACCCAGCCCCCGTCTCTGAACTGTATGAGTGTGAGTTTATTTGTGTGTTTTGTGTGGAAACACACAATTGTTCATCCATTCTCCTGTACTGTTGTGGAAAACAGTCAGTGTGTAAGTGTGTGTCCACTCTAAGCAAGCACTGCTGGAGGCAGCTATGAGCTCCATGCATCGCATCACACGTGCTTGTGCTGCTGCAAAGCCAGCAGGGACAGTAGTGGTGACGATACACGTATAGAACACTAGAAACCAGATCCACAAAATCAGAATGAATCTTTAGTGAAGTCAATTCAGACTCACAATCAAATCCCAAATGTAGCTGTTCAGCCAAGAAATGTCTGGTTCTTTAGTTTGGAGCTACGAGGCTAATAGAGACATAATGAGAAGCTCACATATAGGTATATGTTGTTGCTGTCATAACGATCTTCTGTCTCTGAAATGAAAACTTTTGGGAGAAGGAAAAGTGTTCTTCACTTTATAATGGTTTAGTAAGGTAATGTAAAAGAATTAATTCTATGTGCTTTTTGCCCCATTCTTTGGGAACTGGTTAAACAATATAAAGGGCAGTTTCAAATAAATAAACATAACAGACAAACAAAAGGAATTAAGAGGTTTAACGTGACAGAAGAAACCTACAGACTTGCTTAAGTGGTTTCTGACATTTATAAAAATAGACAAAAATACTGATGAAGCTGTTTTTATTACAGGTTTCTTAATGGCTCCATTTCCATTTTTTTAAGGAGACTACATACATACATACATCATCTAAACCGCTTATCCTTCTGGGTCGCGGTGGGGTGCTGGAGCCTATCCCAGCTGTCATTGGGCGGAAGGCAGGATACACCCTGGACAGGTCGCCAGTCCATCGCAGGGCAGACAGACAGACAGACATATACATTCACACACACACTCACACCTAGGGGCAATTCAGCATGTCCAATCAGCCTGACTGCATGTTTTTGGACTGTGGGAGGAAACCGGAGTACCCGGAGGAAACCCACGCAGACACGGGGAGAACAGGCAAACTCCACACAGAAAGGACACTGGTCACCCGGCCGGGAATCGAACCCAGGCCCTTCTTGCTGTGAGGCGACAGCGTTACCCACTGCGTCACCATGCCGCCCTTAAGGAGACTATCCTACATTTATTAAAATTCCAGTCAAAACAGCCACTAAGTTATTCATTCTTTAGTGTCAAGAAAAAAAGCAGAAAACATATTTAGCAAAACATCACCCAGAAACCTCAACAACTAAAGTTTCAGTATTTAATGTGTTCACCCCTTCATTACAGCTTCCAGCTTTTATGGGAGACTTGTTTTCAGTTTTTAAAAGCAATCTCCAGGGTGGTCTTTGACTTTTCCATGTACTGTATATTGTCAGAACCCACATCTATATGAGGTTACTTTAAACTTGACAAGATTTGAGGCAAGGGTTTATTGTTTTACGCATGCAGTTTGTATAATGTTAATTAGTAAGGTATAACATTCCATTACTTCTTAGCTACTTTAGTCTTGTAGCTCCAGCGCACTATTTAAGCAAACTTTGAACACCAAACATATCTTGGCTAGTTGAATACATCTATTGTGAAGGTGAAAATTCTGTACATTTGATTTTTTGAGTTTTCAGTTCCTGACCTAAGTCACGTTTATTGGAGCCATCTGTCAGCAATGGCCTCACATTTACATGGATCTGGGTCTAATGCCTCCAGTGCTCATTCAAGGAATGACATTGATGGTTAAAGAAATTAAACAAAAAGAAAAACAGATAAATACATTTATATCTTAAACAACGTGCAATGGAGATTTCGGTGTAAAGTCAATGATACACAGAGTGGAGCGGGCCGGTTCTATGAGGGCAATACCATGGGCTGAGTAAGGACAGGAAGCACAGAGGAGTTATGCTTTAAGCTATTCTTTGAGTTAAAGAGAGGGAAAAGGCTTTTCTTGATGCTCGGGTTCCTTCCTTCGCAGCCCTCCGTCTGGAATATAAGACGCACAGAAAGGCCAGCGGCTCATTGCAGGAAGAGACAGACATGTTTGTTGTTGAAAACAGCAGATGAACATGCGGCCCTGTGGCTCAGTGTTTGTACACAAAGCACATGAGAGGCAGATTCTGCCACAGACATTCAGCTTGGGTTTGCACTGGTCTCCATATGCCAATCTTAGGGGAAATGCTATGAATGTAACTCTTCTGGATTTGGGCTGGACTGATTTGGTGAATAGGGGGTACCAAACTAACAAACTATTTGCACTATTTCTATGTACATCAGATAAAAATATACAGTACAATTGATTGCAATTACAGAAATTTTCATTGAACTACAGTTATATTCAAAAGTTTGAACACACCCAGTCAAATTACGTTTTTTTTACATTTTGTAAAAAAAAAACAAACAAAAAAAAAACAATCAAAAACTATTTAATTCATGCAATTAAATAACATTTACAGACTTTGCTCCAAATACCTTTTTTTAGGTATTATTTTTTTTTTAATGTGCCCCATTATGTTCTAAATCACAAAGTTTTATCTGCTTACAGAATGGCTAAACTGAGCTGAAAATACTTATTTGAGTGCCAATACAACAATAAGAATGTTTCACATCTTTGAAATTTCACATGGTTGCATGAATTAATATATTATTTGACTGGACAGACTGTAGTTGAGTTGTGGAATGACTCAACTTTGTACACTTCTTCCAGTCACATTTGTATTTTCAGTGTGTAGTTTTTTAAAATATATTATATTTCTTCTTATGTTTTTTATATGGTATACTCTCACCTGAAGCATAAACAGAAAAGACATTCAGTCTGTTTTACTCTAAAGAGAGATTACGAGTAGAAAGAAAAGCAGAAGAAGCAAAAAGGGAGCTAAGAAGGGAAGAAAGATTTAGAGAGTTTAGGGAGGATTTTTGTAGTCAATTATTCTGTTAATCTAAAGTACAGTACACACACACTGCGTTAGCTATGTTAAATGGCTGACAGACAAACGTGTATCAAGCATCCCGGTGACAGCGCACACATGAAGACACAAAGCAGTTCTCTGTACTGACGTTAAAGGAAGACATTGCCCAAAAATGCAAACTTTGCTGCTAATAGCTGAAAGTTATTTAGGGCCAGTTAGCATTAGGCAAATATCATGATGTCATGCTAACTTGTCCCTTTATGCTTCATTCATTGGGTAACGTATTCTTTCAAGGGCAGCAGTGAGGCATTCAATTAAGCACTTTCTTATTGCTGCTACCATTCTGACTGTGCAAAACTGTAGGTATGCCAAGTTTAACACCTTGAACAGGACTAAGTTCAGCAGCAAAGGAAAAGTGAGTAAGTGTGATGCTCACAGGTTGGGACTTCTTCTTTTTCTTCTTTATTGCTCTGAAGAAACCCTGTTTTTCCTTCTGTTTTGGAACCTCTGGTGGGTTCATGGCCATTGCTTCTGAGTTATTCCTAAAAATGAAAAACAAACAAACAAAAAACAATAAACACACGATTTAGAGAGACTGAAATATTTTTAGTGTTTGCAACTAGACAGCACACCAAATCTAGGTCGCACTGTAACTCAGGATTATGACAACTCATCCCACTCCCACTTTTTAAAATATATCATGCTAATTTTGTCGTACCCTTTTACCATGTAATTTTCCCCAGTCAGTAATTGCCGTGCAGTTTTAATGTGTTCTGAAGGCTTCTGAATAATAAATCTCTTCTGCAAAACATGCAATATACATAGATTTACCATGCTATCGTGTTACTTTTAGAAATAATTACAGCCAATGTTTCAAAAATTCTTGACTTGGGCATATTTTATGAGAGCCATTTCCGCAACGCAATAAGCACACCACCATCTATAAACTGCACACTAATTCTAGTAGTGTGAAAGATTTCCACACAGAGCTGCGTTAATAATAACTGCTGCTACAGCTTGCTGCCATGGTAACAGTGAGAGCTCACCAGGGGTCAAAGTTGGTCTGGCGTTTGGAGTGGTTGGTCAGAGTAGCGCTGTCTGCTGCTACAGTCGGCACTCTGCTCTGGCCTGCACTGTCGTGGAAGGAGTTGTCCGGTCGCGGAGATGGGACTAGACCACAGGGGATACATAAACCACAGATAAGTAGATAGACACATGTATTCGACTGATCCTGGAGGGGAAATCTGGGTGCTATAGTAGCAAAAACACTGAGACTGTCTACACTTAATAATTAGACAGATAATTATACATAGCTGCTGTCATATCAAAACCTCATAACTCATATTTTTTCTGTTTTTAAATCAACTATCCTCTACATTATGTGAACATTTAATGGTGAATGGACTAATAGAAATTATTTGGAATGAAGTCTCATCAGTGGGGAATCCTCAGGGCCTTCTAGGCCTTCAGAGAAGGTAAAATACAATGTCAAACATATGCTAACTCTTACAAGCTTCAAATAAAATATGATATGTCTTTTATAAGCAAAATTGGTCAAAAAATGTTCATGTGAATCGCTGTTAGCTTAGCGCCAATATACCACTACAATCTCATATGTGAGCTAGCCGAAACTTCTAGAAATGAGAAATTATAGTAGATGTGATTTCATTTTTGACATTTTATTTCTGCAGTTTTGACATTTATGGCCCTAACTGAAAGGCCTAGCTCTAATAGTCAAGTCTCCACTAAGTCTTATTAACCTTAACTGAACTAACATTCCCTCTGTGACACATTTAGAGACTTTCCCCTTTAACTTATTAAAATGTATTCACGTTGGTCATAACAGCATGTCGCATCAGCATGCGGAGCTTTCTATGTGCTATTTTGTCTTCTATCACTTTGTAAATTAAGCATGATTATGCCTTTATTATTGAATACATTATTGCTCCCCAGTCCATACAGTCCATATATGGAAACTAAGCTGCAAAAACAGCTTGTTTTGAATTAATATCACATTTATATATTCGCCTATTCAGTCAGTAGTTTAGCCCCATCATGCTTAAGGGAACTGCTAAGTGTCTCAGTCTGGACAGTTTCTTTATTTAGTTTTTGTGAATATGTGCTCATTCCAAATTTAATGCCTGTATGTTCCAAAAAAGCTGGGGCAGGAGAATGTTTACCACTATGTTTACCTTTAACAACACTTTTTTGCCATTCTTCCATTATATGTTATACAGCTTTCGTTGCTCTATTTTGTCTATCATAATGTGCCACACGTTTTCAGTGGGAGACAGGTCTGGACTGCTGGCAGGCCAGTCCAGCACCTGCACGCTCTGATTACATAGCCATGCTGTTGTAACACATGCAGAATGTGGCTTGGCATTGTTAAAATAAGCATGGACATCCCGAAAACGACACTGTCTAGAAAGGAGCATGTCACTGCTATTAGTGATAGTTAATGGTGACTGCACAGATAAGCAAGCTTGAGCCCTGAGAACTGACATTTCTGGACGTTGTTGACATTTCAATTCCTCTGTACATGGTACAGTCTTAACTTACATTTAAGAAAATTTTTGAATATTTCATATTGGAGCTGAGATTTGGAAAGACACAATAGATACGTCACTACATTATGTGACGTTTTGGTTTAAGGTGTTTGACAAGAACATACAAGATCCATATCATGGAAAATCTAATTTTCCTTGCTTTTATTTAACTAAAACAATTTGACGTAATACATAAACATTGTTCAAATTTCAAAACGTGGTGGTAGGCAAGTGATGCTTTCAAATGATGGTCAATATTGCAAGAAAATCCGAGTTTATGCTCGACCAACACATCCTCTGGGTTTTCAGCAGACAGAAGAAAAAGATGTCATGAATATTGATTAAGAGGCTGTTCCTAACCCTACACCCCTAATCTACAGGATGAAGGAGCCTCTTAATCGATATTTGCTGCTTCGCTCTTTCTCCAATAACGCGTTTCAGCACAGCAGGTAATGTGGTAACACCACAGACAAGCTTAAATTGGAGAAAATAAACATGTTTATTTCTTTTTGCCAACAACTTTTATGAAACCACAACATCAAAATCATTTAAATTGTTCATGTTTTGTTAGGGAAGATTTTCTGTTCTGTACATGGAAGGCTACAGCACAGGCTTTTGTTTATCTAGCACATCCACAGGAACAACAACAAAAAAAACGTTATAAAATGTTCCGAGGCTAGACAACATGTTAAAAACAGAAACGGCAGATTACCTCAAAAATATGACTGTGCATCTTAAAGCCATGGAGGGTGAACATTTAAAGGCCATTGTGATAGATGTAATCTAATGGCAATTCACTAATGTCAGTCGGCACAAGCCAATAGTCCATGCATTGAAAGTAAGCTGCAAAAACATTCTGTTTTGAATTCATTTTAGTTGTTACAACTTGCTAGCCCAACAATGAATTTTGAAGTGATCAGGACTGTCACTACTACAGATTTCTGTCAAGAGTGCTGTCCAATATATCTTATGGTATTATATTTTGGCAGTTCATCAGCACAAAAGTCATTTATATAAATCTTAAAAAGACGGCAATGAGAAAAAAAAACATCACTGTTTTTCTCACATAGGGGGCTGAGTTTTTTGTCAAATATTTCAAAATATTTTAAAATGATAAAATACACAAGCAAATTGTTAACTATAACAACATGCAGGTTGTTCAACTGCACTGTATATTGGTCAACTGATTTGGAGTAGCCACACCCACTCCATGAGCCTTGAACTGCCCCAACAAGGTGGAATACGTTGTACTGAGTACTGCCTAGAGAGCAGCGTTGCACTGGCATGTCTGACATTAGAAGCAAAGTTTGTCATATTTCTTATAAATTATTAATGTAACACAAGTTTGGGGTCCTGTGTCACCTACAACAATATAACTGCCAGTTTGGACACTGTAGCACTTATTTGTTGAACGAAGCTGTACCACTTTTCAGGTTTGCCGGTCTAGCGCTAACTAGTCTAGCACTGTTATCTACAGCTAACAAGGCTAGCCATACTGCTAATGGAACTAGCAGCTAATTATTTCTTAAATATCTAATGTTAGTTCACTGTATTAATGTGAAGACAGTGATTTGGAGAAGCAGCATTCTGTTAACTGGCATGCTGAAACAGAAAGCTGGTTTTAGCAACTGACACAAAAGAATTCTGTCGGTAGAAAAGCTGTAATGGCCAACCGTGACATATCAACTTCATTCTCTTTGAAGTGATTGAATGTCTATCAACTATCTCACGGCAGTAGTAACATGTAGCTGCCAGTAATCAGTCGCATTTTCCACTCTTTACTGTGTTTAAAGAGCGCTATTTTATCTCCTTCGGCCCCCAGCACTACATTTTCAACAATATCAACACATCTGACCCAGCTCATGAAGAACTTAGTAATCAGTTGAACAGCTGACTGCCAAAGTGTTTAAAAACAAAGAATAGTTAGAATCGCTTATTACTTTATTTGAAACTTTTGGCACAAAAATGAATGCCATACTAAGCTTTTTGACATTTTGGTCAAATCCAGGTTTGAGAATACCTCTGTAGAAGCTTCCCACTCTCCGAGGCATGGAGTCACTGTAGATAATCCTGTTCTCTTTGGACGAGGTTCCATCCTCCACGTGTGGGTCGTGATACATCCCCACCTGCAGCACAGGATGACAGGCAGGCTATTGCATTGGAGCATCTGCAACATGACCACAGCCATCTTTCTTCTTTGCACTACACTTCCTGTACACATGCCTAATCTTACTGGGATTTTTTTGTGACAAGGGAAAAAAAGGTTTCATTAGGGAAGCACAGAGAGAAGAGAGGAAAGAAAGAGAGTTTAGTTGAGTTGCTACATTTTGCTAGAAGCGTAAGCTAGACTTTAAAAAATGTGGTGGAGAAGACACTTAAAAGACATTTATATAAACATTAAAGGTGCGAGCTGAAGGCTTAAATGGCCTGCCTCTCTGGTGGTCAAAGCAAAGTCAGACAAGGAGAAGATGTAGGACATAGAAATACAATAGCAGTAGCTAGGTGAACAACAGGGAGGACTGACTTTAACTGGATGAGTATTTGTGTGAATGTTTGTGTATGCACTGTGAGCTGGCTTTAGACCGGTTTCCGTGTGTGAGGTGAGTTAGGAGGTCCGTGAGGGCTTGGCTGAGACTCGGACCTCGTTTTTGGGGCGCTGTGAGTGGAAGGAAGCAGTGTTGTCCCTCGTCGAGTCTTTAATCGGGCCGTGAGAGTGAGGCTTCTCTTTGGGAGACTGTTCGCTCTGTCAACACAAACACACAGCAGGTAAAGCAGACACGAGAATGGAGTGTGTGTTTGTGCATGTGTGGTGCACGTGTGTACAGTGCAGTCCGAAAATAACTGATCCACACACAAATGTGTTCTTTCTAGAGATGGTACACTCTTATCGATGGGTATGGATATCAGACTGATATCCGCAGAAAATGCTGGACTGGATATCAGAAAAAAAAGAATGATTGTGATCCAATCCTGTAACAAATCTAGGTACTTAAGGCGCACACATTTAAACTGTGTGATGTAAAGTTGTTAGCTGTGGGGTGGTATAGTGTCTGAGCATGGTAGCCTGCTTTTAGATGCTCATCTTAAGTGCTTCAATTAAAAATAGCCCATTTTAAAGCGCAGCATCAAAAAAGAAAACATGGTATAGTTCTTCCACAGTTATTTCCAAAAATCCTATTTAACCTAAAGAGAAACTGTAGCATTTTTGTCAAAATATCTAGTCTACACATGTTGCCTCAAGCTAATGCCTACGATGATAATAAAATTTTAGCTGATGATTAATTGCCATGTAAATAATTGCTGTTAACAATTTAATGGTCTCTTTTTGTTCACTATATACCACTTTTAAAGTATAGACCTGAAGTGGCCAAATTGTGTGCCTTCCTAGCTGTCAATACTTATGTTGCCTTCCAGCAGTATTGGAAACTGGGAAATACCTGTTTTTTGTAAGCTGCCCTTGAATGGCTGACCAAGTCATATTTACAACTGACAAACTCGGGATCCTAGATGATACACAAGTTTACGAGATGTGATGTATAACGCTACCTTTCACCTTTTTACATGAGTGAAAAATTGCAGTGAATGTGAAAAAATATATAACTGATGCGGTTCTGATCTATGTGCTTTTTAACGTAGCAAAGAAAAAGCAGGACTGTATTCTTCGACCTCCATGCTTCCTTTTTCCATGCGGCGGGCGTATCTATGAAGAAGCACCTGAATGGAGTTTAGTCGTATGTACTAGTTAATCACCTGCACTGATAATTTACATCAGGTCAAAAACATCTAACGTGTTTGATATACTCTGACTGCTCTGAAACTCAACCAAGAGTCTTTGCCCGCCACAAACAAGTTAATTTCCTAACTCCAACTGCCACAAAATCTACAGACTACAGGCAACCAGCACAGACTCGGCCCAACTGAGACTCAGAGCTAAAATCAGGGTACAAAGTGTAGTGTAACCCTGGCTTTAACTAGCTATCAATGTAAAAGTGAGTAAACTTTCTGCTTAGCCTATCAATTAGATGTTTATTTTCTAGAATACTACATGACAATTTTTTTTTTTAATAAACAGTAAAAAAAACACTACACATGATTTGACTTGACAATGTGACCTGTGAGAATTTCTCATTAGGCTGAATAGATTTTTGCTACCATTCTGTAAAGCTCTTCCAACCTAGGAATACATAAGGATGCATTTGTGGGTGGAGCATAGGTTAGTCAACTGACACTACTGTTATGTTTTTGGATCCATACCCTGACACACTTTATCTGGAATCAAACAATGACTATGAAATTAAAGATCTGGGTCCAGAATCTGTTGCTGTTGTCTCTGAACATGAGGATTTAAGAAGTGTCAAGGTAAAAAATCTATTATTTGTATAATGAATCAATTATTTGATTTAATGTTTAGATCACACTGTTGAAATTACAAATAGCAAAAAACCTGGTAGACCATGGACCATCATTTCCACACATATTTACATTTTTATATTAGGCTGCTGTGGCACTTGAGATAAGTAGGCGTAGTCTATACAGACTATGCTGTGTTTCCTTTATAAAACATTTTGCAGTCACAATGCAGAGCACTTCAAGCACTCCACTTCTGTGTTTATAAGCCTACGTTTGAATACACACGCAGACGCCTAAAAATAACGGTTTACAAGAGAGATGGAAATGATACTGAAAATTATATTGACAGACAACACCCAGATACGTGGGTGCATTTTATTGCCATGTGTAAACAGGGCCATATATTTATCAATTTCTACTATAAAGATAAGAATACACTAGCATTACACTAGCGCTAGTTTACTAACCACTGGTAAGCCTCAACAACAGAAATATAAGGGTATAGTTTACTAAATAGTACCTAACAAAACCTGTAGAGCTGTGGACTATAGAGCTGTCAACTAGGGCTGGCCTGAACAGAATCTTACAGGCTTTGAATACTCGATATGTCTAAACAAGCACTCAATACTCAAGTATTTTTTAAAGAAAGGATTTTGATGTAATATGTAAACACTGTTAAAATTTCACATACCATTAACTTGATACAGTCCATATAAGGAAACCAAGCAGAAGAAACGTCATATTTTGAATTCACTGTTTTTGTGATGTCACGAAAAACCAGTGCATTTATGTATATCCACCTATTTAGCTTACAGCTGTTTAGCCCTGCTGATTCACCTTGGACCAGGCCCCCTTTAATCTGGGACAACAATCACAACACAAGTCCAGAAAAACCACAAGATCATGCAAAATCCATGTAGAACCAAGGTCTTTATCATATAATGAAGGAAGTCAAATAACATGCACAGCTGGGTGTCTCAGTATTATTTATCAGCAGAGATATCAGTTTTAAATGTTTAAAAATATAATTTGTAATACAGCACATTGCATTTGTTTACCCTCAGAAGGCAATTACTCACAACTCCTGGGCCCCCCAAGGCATGGGCCCATATGCAGGTGCATACCCTTCATACCCAGATGCTACGCCATTATGTAATGATCTTGTTCAGTCGTTTCTGAGCAGCGCCTGTGCTATAATAACAGTCTGGGGAGGAGACTATTTCTGATACAGCAGTAAAACTTGTGAGTGTGATATCATCTAAACAGATCTGCTGTTTTCCATGGTCATGTTTTAAACCTGCTATGAAACTGTTAATTAGAAAAGGAGAAAACAGAGCTGACATTCCCACCTGAAGTGGTTACGTGATGGAGATGAGTTCGAGATGATTTTCACTATATTTCAAATTTGAGCTGATTTATCAAACTTCACGTGCCTCCATGGTAGGGGTGCGGGAAAAACTCGATTCTTAGATGCATCGCGATGCGGACGTGAACGATTCTGAATCGATTCACAAATGTCAAAAATCGATTTTCTAAATATTTAATTTATAACGGAACGCTGACGGAACGCAAAAGGTGGATCTTGGAAGTGGGTAAGTGCAGCGCCCGGACAGTCTGTGGCGGCATAACAAAAACACCACTGGATGAGTGAGAAATCCGACCGGGTCCCTCTGCATTAAAGCCAAATGTTAATAAGAGCTGTTTTGTCCTTTCAACAAAGTCAAACCACCTTGGGAGCCACAACATTTAATGTCCAGTACGTGTTAATGTCGTAGTATGGGCTAAAAATATAAACGAGAGCGCAGATTTACTTTGCTCTGCTTTAAGCTTTAGCTACAGCCGCTTTCCTTCCATCTCCACCAGAACACCTTTCTTTAAAACTAGAAGAGTTTCTTGTAAAATGTCTCAGCATCCGGCTGTTTTACGAAGCTGAGGTCGCTTCTCATTCGCCAGCTTCTCGTTCTAATTTTCCCGTTTCACCTTAAATTCTGCCTTAGGCGCCGAATGTAACTGCTGCACCATTTAAGGTGGAACGGGAAAATTCGAAAGAGAAGCGAGTTCATTTTCGCAGCTTTTTTTAACTCTCGTTGCAGATTTAACCAACCGCGCTGCTTATAAATGCGAATAAGTCCTCCAAATGCAAATGTTCGTCTTAATCTCTGTTTTTTCGTTCGCTGGATCTTATTTCAGGGTAACAGCGCATTTTATCGCAGATGAGTGGCAGCAGCGTCTCTGAATGAGAGCCTTCTAGTTCACTTGCCACATCACTTCCATTTGATTTATTAATAAAAGATATTTTAGATATTTAAAGCAAAGTATTTGTAATGATCCATAATGCATTTACATTATGGATCATTACAAATACTTTGCTTTAAAACTACCAAGTCCTCAGACAGTAGGAAGATAGAAATCCTGTATAGAGAAAAAAGATGCATCGAGATGCATCGATAATCGTTTTATAATCGCATCGCAGCCCTCTGAATCGTAATCGAATCGAATCGTGAGGTGCCAAAACATTCCCACCCCTACTCCATGGTATACTAGCCTGTTATCACAAAATTTGTGTCTTTCTTATCATCAGAAAATGTATTGACTTTTTGTGAGGCATCTTTGGCTTCAGCTGCTATGTGGAAAGCAGTGTAGCGCTCTGAGACAAGGTAATGTGGATGCATTTACGCATTTATGATGCTTTTACGCATTAATGATAAACCAGTTATTTTAGTTAATTTAATTATTTTTAACATTTTCCATAAAATAGCAACAACTGTTCTATCTAAAGGCCTTTGCTGTTGAAATTTATTTTAGGCTACAATTCTTGTGCCATAAAAAATGTTTTTTTTGCTTCACTTTGAAGCAGGACAATGACCCTAAACACATTACTTAAGCAACTGTTGAGCTTTTCAGGGACAAAAAGTGGAACCTAAACCCTACTGAAGATGTTTACTGAAGACTACTACCTGCATTTTATAAGCTTCAAATACTTGTTGTTGTACTCGAATACTCATTCTCACTACCAATCTTAAAATAATAATATTTACGCTTTATAATAAACCTTACTTTAAATGTTTGTTAATTTATTTTATATAGTTTTAATCTGAATATTCAAATAAAAAAAAAATAGTTTTACACATTTATACATCCTTTTTTACGATGGACACCCCAAAGATGCAGAGAGACTGATATGCTGTTATTAGCAACTATTAAGTGTGAGAATTTTATTTATGTTTATTCATGGTCTCCTGAAATGGGGGGACGAGACAGTTACAAGTCATGTCTGATTCACCCAATTTGTAAAAGCCAAAAACAATTAAATCTGCACTTCTAACTTCATAGTCATTGTTTCATTTAAAGTTATGTGTGCTGGAGTACAGAGCCAAAACAACAAAATTTGTGTAAATGTAAAATTTTTATGGACTGCAGCAATGCTCTCTCTTTCTCTTTTTGTGTGTACATGTGCGTGTGTGTATGCTCTGGCAATCATATACAATTACAGGCAGGAAGCAGCAAAGCCTTACTAAGTCAAGAGCAGAGGTCAAACATGCACACAGCAGCTGAAATAATCTACATCTCTAGAGTAGAAAGGATGACTAAATGTCATTTCCTAACAGTGACTAGCCCTTTGCTGTGCTCTGTAGAACATATAATCTAGCTTGCTGGGACACTCTTTGTCAATGTGAAAGAAGCAGGCAGAGAAAAGAACAGAGCAGAGCAGAGCTCACCCCTCTGCAGACATACAGAGATGCAGCTAGCAGACATTAAACATGCAGCTTAGCAAGAATTATAGTTTAGTACAGGACAGTGTAAGAGTAGATGGGGTAGACAAAACAAAGAGGAGGTACAAAGGGGAAGAGAGAAAGTGAGAAAGTGAAGGACTGCAATAGATAGATAGATAGATAGAAGAGAGTGTGTGAGAACGTCAAGAAGCGAAAGGAAAAAGGGAGAGACAGTACAAATTGAGAAATACAACATATGGCCAAAAGTATGTGGACAACGCTCCTAATTTTTGAGTTTAGCTGTTTCAGCCACAAACGTTGCTAAGGTATATGAAATCAAACACAGCATATAGTCATCCATAGACAAAAACTGGGAGAATGGATCGTCATGAAGAGCTCAGCAACTTTAAACATGCGACTGTCATAGGATGCCACCTTTGCCACAAGTCATCTCGTGAATTTTCTGCCCTGGTGAACTGCAAGTGCTATTATTGTGGAATAGAAGTATCTAGGAGCAAAAACAGCTCAGCAACGAAGCGGAACACCATGTGAAGTCACAGAGTGGGGCCGCCAAGTGCTGGAGTGTGTAAGAATTGCCTATCCTCTGTCACATCACTCATTACAAACTGCCTCTGGAAACAACATCAGCACAAGAACTGTGTGTCAGTAGCTTCATGAAATGGGTTTCCATGGCTGAGCAGCAGCACACAAGCCCAAGATCACTCCATGCAATGCCATGTGTCGGCTGGATTGATGTAAAGCACGGCACCACTGGACTCTGGAGCAGTGGAAAGGTGTTCTCTGGAATGATGAATCGCTTCACTCTCTGGCAGTCTGATAGATCTGGTTTTGGTGGATGCAAGGAGGTCGCTACATACCGAAATACCTAGTACCAACAGTAAAGTTTGGTGGAGGAGGGAAAATGGTCTGGGTATGTTTTTCAGAGTTTGGGCTCGGCCCCTTAGTTCCAGTGAAGGGTAATGTTAATGCCACAGTACAGAAGGACAATTTTCAGGTACCAGTTTGGGAAAAGCCATTTCCTGTTCTAGCATGAATGTGCCCCTGAGCATAAAGCAATGTCCATAAGACATGACTTGATGAGTTTGGCGTGGAGGAACTCCTGTGAACTGCACAGAGCCCTGACCTCAACCTCACTGAACACCTTTGGGTTGAACTTGAACGTCGACCGCAAGCCAGGCCCATCATCAACCTCACAAAAGCTGTTTTGACTGAATGGGAACAAATGCCCACACACACTCAAAAATCTTGTCCAAAGCCTTCCCAGAACAGTGGAGGCTGTTACTGTTGCAAAGAGGAAGGCGGGGTGGGGATGGATGTCTAACAAAAGCTCATATAGGTGTGATGGTCAAGTGTCCACATACTTTTGGCCATACAGTGTACATAGGGAGTAGGGATGTCCTGTCAGGTTTTGTGCCCCAGATCCCAATCAGAGACATTTAATGTTGGGAATCTGCCAATACTGAGTCCAATTTGATTACTAATTTCTTTGTAGGTAATACAGATGCACAGAGAACACTTTAAGTTAATTAAAGTTAGTAAAACCAATTTAATGTTGTTACGATACAAATTACTTTAAACTTTTTCTGTGACTTTTTCTGACTACTTTTATTGTCTTGAATGTGCTTTCATATTTCAAACTCAAACATGCACAATGTAGGCTACTCCTTTATCTTGCCTTTGAATGCACTTTTACTTCAGTGTGTAACAGCTGTGCATCCAAATTTTATGTATGGCTATTTAAACCCTTTTTTGACAACAGGTAGCTTGTGTAACTGCCCTCAACACTGTAATCACTGCAGATTTTACAAGTTCCTGTTGGGCTGTTTTCATTTTCGCTTACATACTTCTACACTGCCTTTTGTTTACTTCTAAAACCATGGGTGACCAGTGGAAAATGTCCATTTATGGCATGTCTACAGTAGTGGCATGAAGAGAAAGCACAGGGGCTAAACATCCTTAACAAAATATTGCAATTATTGGTATTTGCTTAATATTGGCTTAAAAGAATATCTTCGTAAAAATCAAATGCACACAATTTTCCACTTATGTGACAGTAGCTGATCAGCCAAGTTTAGAACATGAGCTGCAAGGCTGCTGTTGTGAGCAAATACTAGAACTCAACAGTCAACCAAATATCCGTGCAATTACATGCACTTATTAATCCGATCATAATTCTGCACTTATCTGATTGTTCATAGGTCATGTAAACAGCAGACTTAGATTTCTTAGATTGGCATAAGCTCTAGAAATCTGATTAAGAAATCTGTTAAAGAGAGATGGATTTTAGCTCAGAAATCTGATTTCTCAGCGCATGCATACACTTACTCTGATTTCTTTTGGATGTCTCAGTCTACGCATGTGTGAAAACAGACCGCAGTACCAGAAATAAGCAACGCAAGAAGCAACAAAATACTTTTGAAGCGATGCCAAAACCAACTACATGCTTGTCGGAATAAAGGATTTAAATATTCTTCATCTTCTAGATTATGCATGTTCACACTTTCAGGTAAAGTGGTGCAAAGTTTAAAAAAAAAAAACATGGCATGAAGTTTTTATGTTACATGTATGTCACATCTTCTTCTGTGAGTTTACTGGCTGGTTGCAAAGCAGAAATCCGACTACTGCCCGACTCACGTAAACCCGCAGTTTCCCCATTATCTGATTATCCGAGTGCATGTGAACACTCTGATCGGATTACTGAGAAAATCTAATTTTCTGCAGTTATCGGATTATTATGTGCATGTTAATGTACTCATTGTCTCTGTAAAAATACATCACCAAAATGTATACCAATAGCCATTTCAGATAACACCAGGGCTGATATTCACAAATTCACAAAGCAGTCATAAATTAAAGGACCGATCTTGGATCAGATTCCTCTATATTTATGATGGTAATGCATACGAATACTGATTCAAGATCCACACTCCTGAGGTGGTTTGTGAATTCAGAACCTGTTGTCTAAAAAGGCTGCCCCTAGTGTTCAGCTACACAAGAAAGTTTTTTCAATTTTATAGTTCACAGTAAGTCAAACTGTGTCCTAAAACACATCAACAAGCCTGCGCAACCCCAATGTAGACCTGGATGCGGTTTGAGCAGGTGAAGAAAGGTTTTGGTGATGTATTTTTGCAGAAAAAATCTGGGCTATTTGGGCAAATATTAAGTTCCAGTGTTTGTTAGCAATGTTTTGCAGCTCCAGTTCTAAACTAAAGAAGGAAAATTTGCACTCCAATCATGTCTTGCCAGATCAACTACATCTGTGGTAAGCGTAACGTTGCATAAGTAAATTTTTTGCCAAACAATTTCTTTAAAATAGCTAATATCTATCCATTAGATTATGTCTTCAGATGAAGAGAGAGGCTGACAGAAGAGAGAGAGAGAGAATTTGTTTGAGAGAGTACAAGAGAGAGAGAAAGAAAAAGAGAGAGCGAGAGATTCAGTGAGACTCACCCTGCTGAGGTCCTGGCTAAGTTCCTCTCTTGACGAACTGGTGGGGTGGCGGGGTAATGTGCGGTGAGGGAGTTGAGGGGAGAGCAGCTGGAGGCTGCTGGCCCGTGTTGGGACGCCCTGGTTTACTGCAAGGGCCTCCTGCCCATGGGTTCGATGGCGTTCACGTCGCACATACATCGAGTGCCTGTGGGGGCGCTGTTGGGACGAGAAGGGGCTAGTGTAGCCTAGGCCATAAGGGAAGGACTCATGTGGGGCTGAGAGCGTGTGGGCTCCAGCGGCAGCAGCAGCGGCAGCAGCAGCGGCAGCTCTGGCTGGGTCCAGCGTGTCTGGGACCTTGGGCTCCTCTGGAGTCTTCTTGCGACCCGAAGAGCGCCGCGAGTCCAGGGTGCCGCCCTCCAGCCGTGGGTTGCCCCGTCCTGCTGGGCTGTGGCCCTGATGCTCTGAACCAGAGTGCCGCTCTGCCCGTGGGCTGTTCGGAGCTGCGTTCAGATCCAGGCAGCTTGCCGGGAAGTAGCGGGAACCAGAGCCAGAACCTGATCCTGAACCCGAACCTGACACAGGCTCGTCTAGATGGAGGCGTGACTCGGCCAGGTTGCTGACAGACTTGGCATCGCTCAGCGTGCCATGGCTTTTGGACAGGCTGAGGAAGGACGAAGCGCTCTTAGAGGATGATGAGGATGGCATGGAGCCATGAGAGCTTTCCATGTAACTGTAGGAAAAGGAGGGTAGTAATTAGTTACATTTACTTGGTTACTTAAAGTTACTTAAAGTGATGATTTAGCCAAAACTCAATCTTCCCTTTACCCTAAATATAGTTAATCAGCCACATAGCTGTGGGAAGGTATCCAAGCAGGAAGTTACACTGATAATGGAAAACTGCGTTTCTCCAAAGGCTGAAAAACACGAGGTGCAGTGCACTTTTTCCTTCTTTTGAAGGCTGTGTTTTTCCCTGTTGCCAAACAACAGTAGTGTTGTAACGATAATTTAGCTCTGTGAAATCTCAACACTGCAGCTACTATTTTCTCCTCCTTATTTACATGAATCTGAATGGCTGCATACAATGTAAACGGACAGCCACACAGGGTGCATAAAAAGCAAGGTGCCTTGTGCGCAAAGACTGCAGCAAAACACATCTCTCTCATTCAAACCTCGCTTCTTTAGCTTTGCACTGGAACTACAAGGCTAATGTAGCTATGAGTAATGGAAGCATTTACCCACCTATTAGTACTGTGCAAACTGCAAGCCTAATCATCCCACACTTGAGGAAAACAGAACGTAACAAACGTCAGTTCATATGCTGAATGTACTAGGTTGTTCTGCAGTTCTACAAAGAATTTAGTTCTGTTTTTGGGCCTGTTTTTTCACAAGCTGTTTTTATCTCTACTTGAGTCATTATTTTATTCACTCTCAAATTTGGCATGCTATGAACAACATGTGGTGTCTTATTCTTAAATATGTGTCTAGTTAACAAAAACAAACTTTGTGTTACTTTTAACACAACCAGTATGAGAGAGGAGAATCTTTCTTTCTAATTACACAATCTGTGTCAGAATGGTACTGTGCTATTCTGTACTGCCCAGTGTCTATCATAAATATCATGATACTTCCAAGACATGATACATGGTATGCGTCATATTTTTTTCTGAGGTTCAGTGGTAGGAAAAAGGTAGTATCATATCTAAAAAAACTTAACACAATAATTTTTATTCCATGTTTTACGTACTGCGCTAAACAAAAATAAACTGGTTTAATTATGCTTTCATTGTAATGAAATATGTAGTTAGTGTCCTTTAGGTACTGACGATATCCACAAAAGCACATTGCTACATAATTTATCATAATAACAGTAAATATTGTCCCTCCCCTAGCAAGGTACGCTGTGCGGTTAGCAATACTTAATTGAGAAGTAATAACAATAAATAACAGTAATAACGGAAAATAAAACTGAATAACTGATAATTGAGTAATAAGTAAAATAAAGTAAAAGTGTAACATTGACAAATTTAAAAAGATAAATACAAAAAAGGTAGAAAATGAATTAAAAGTTAAAATAAAGAGAGGTATAGCAATAGTTTTGACTTTAGTATTGGTTTAGGCTACTCTACCAACCTCTGGTTGTGGCGCCCATGCTTGTCCCCTGACTGCAGTGTGCTGGTCTTGCCCTCCAGGAAGGACGAGTGCCGGTTGGATTTGGACGATTTGAGGTACTTGCCGGTAGAGCTGTCCACCCCAGTAGCTGAGACCCCTGCTTTGGCCCCGAGGGCGAAGTCGAACTCAGTCTTGCCTTTTGCGTCTTTGGGGCTGAGGAGGTGGGGCAGGTTGCTGTTGGCCAGCTCTTTGCTGCAGGAGACTGAGCGGCTCAGCGTCTGGCTCTGGTAGCTTTTGGGGTGAAGCGTGGGGCTCAGGCTGGCCGTCATGGGACCACCGCCGCCGTTCAGGAAGCTGTCTGTGCTTCGGTGAAGGTCCTCATGGCGCGGCAGTGATGAACAGTCTTTGCCGGTGGAGCGACGGTGACTAGAACTCTTACTACTGCAGAGAGAGAGAGAGAGACACAGTGACAAAGACAGTTAAAGTGAGGTAATTTACACAGTACTCCACTTAGTCCAAAAGTAGTCGATCAGTCAAGACATGTTAGTTTTTTGAAGCTTGTTTATTTGCGGTGGAGCTACAATATTGTCCATAATCAGATAATAAGCTAGCCATACAAACTTTGTGGTATAAAACATATCTTTGAGAGGTTTGAGCATGACATACATACATTTTGAGGATAACTGCTTTGTTTGCCTGTAAGCATTGGTTTAAAACTGTTATATTACCTCTATTTTTTATTTTTTTTTTTATAGCTATGTAGCCATTAGCTTGCTAAACTGCGGGCTAGCAGAGTAATCAGCCAAAAGAGTAATTTCTGTGATGTTTCTAATGATGTATTTTGCTCAATTATACTGTGAATACAGAAAATCAAATGTTGTGGTTTTGAAATATTAAGCATTTATTTATAAGCATTCAAAAGCATTTTACTGTTACGACAGCATGGCACTGTTTTTGGTTTCAAAAGCCCTCTGAAATCTCATCTATCACACTTCACTTGAGCTAATAATCTAATGAAACAGCCCTTAAAATGAGATTACCCTGGAGTGATATAGCGAGGTCAAAAGGATGAAGACATGTTAAAAACAGCATTAAAAAACGAGCGCCATTACTCGTCAGCTACTAAGGATGCAAATTTTCAAGTTCTCTTGAAAGATAACCAACCTTCATTAGCCAGTTATTAATCTTTATACAGTAAGCCTAAAATCAATGATGTGACCCAATTATAAATTTAATTTATATATAAACTATAAAATGGATAGTTCTGAAATCTGCTTAGCTGAGCCATGTTAGAAGACAACAGAACATACTACTGATGAGCGGGCCTGGCACAACCTGCAATATGAAGTTAACAGCCCAAAACCATATTAAACATGCTATAAGAACTTGATTTGTTTAAGCAGTGGGGTTGGCAAATTTCAGACATGGCTGATTGATTACATTTGGAGTAAGAGGAAAATTGTGTACATTTTGGAGAAAGCACAAGAAAGGTGGAAAGATAAATAAAGAAGAGTTAGACAGCACAGTGTAATATTCCGTGTCAGAAGGTGGGGTGGTCTGACCGGCTGGGGATGGTGTTGTCCCCATGGTAGGGCTTCCTCTTGGAGGTACGAGGTGGGGTGGGGGAGGGAGGTGCTGGCCGCTCTAGCACACGTAGTGCCTGGAACACGTGGTGGTTCAAACACTGCTCGGTCAGAAAGCGCTCTGAAGGGTTCAACAACAGCAGGTTCTGAAATCGTTGAAAGAGCTAAAGTCAATTAATAGGCTCACAAACAAAATCAGAATCTGCACAAAAATCAGAATCATACAGCAGAAAGAGGCTGCGAAAGGACAAAGAAAACAAACGAGAAGTGTCAAAAATATGGTTTAATTATGGAGTTATGACTAAAATCCATTTTTAAAAGTGTAGGAGGGAGCTCCACAAGTGGCACATAGGTGTTATTGCACCAGACATTTTTCCAGTATTTTTGAACGTTTGACAAGAGGTGGGCTGGGGGGAGGGACTTCTGAAAAGCAACTTTAAAAATAACAAGTGCTGGGTTAATAAATGTCAGCCAGTGAATTTCATGTAATGATACAAATTGATTGTTAAGGACCTCATAATGCCTTTTGAACAGAAAAATCCTGCTCCCTGCACCTTTATCAGCTCTTTGTGCTACATGATGATCACTGAACTCTAAAATCTAACTATTGGTGGAAAATCCTCCACTGTGGCCAGTGGCAGAGATAACGCACATCTGCTCAGCTGCAGTGGTGGGCTAAGGTGACATACCTTCATCAGATCCAACATGGGGCCATTGAGGATGCCCAGGTATCTCCTCTCCAGGGTCTGAGGGTGACTGACTGTGGGAAACTGGAATATATTTTGCACAAACACAGAGACAAACAGATGACATGGATAAACTTTCTCATAGAAATAAGAACTATCATAAAAAAAAATTTGAGCTGCTTGAGGCCATGTTTGGTGGCTGATTTCTTCTCCCTCATCTGCAACTTATACAGAGACAATCCCTACTTCAGCTGGTCCAGCTCTACCGGAGGAGCTTAATAACATGCTTGGTGACAGGCAGAAGGGTCTGAAAGACCCTGTGGTCACTGCAATCAGAGGCATGGAAGAATAAAGATAGGAGATTCTATTATGATTGTCAAAGCATACCCAGAAGATACCTAGAAATTACTTGACTGTTCCCCTTTATTTTATTTCTATTTAGGTAGCAGAATGTATGGCATAACAGCAGTTGCATAAAGAAGGTGTCAGTACAGCGTTTTCAGGCAGGTCTTGATAACCTCTGCAGATTTACAGAAATATAATAAATGTGCATATATTTTTGATTATGCATCTGCATGCATATCAGCAAGTCCAGATCAAGCCAGTTTATCTGGCACATGCCAGCCCATGAGTCATAGCCAGCCAGCAACCAAGCTATATTCATCAGAAGGGAAGAGAAGAGTTGTTAAGAATCAACCAGTTCTCACCCGGAGGCCTGCAAAGCGGGGGTTGCTGTAGAAAAGCTTCATCTGCTCTGGTGGTAGTGGTCCCAGCACTTTCTGAATGGTGAAGAGCTGGTCAATCTCGCTCTCGCCTGGAAACAAAGGCTGTCCATCACTCAGCTCCCCGAGAATACACCCCACTGACCACATGTCCACCGCCTTCCCATACGGAGCCCTGAAAAACACAGAATTATTTACCCTTATAGACACACAAATATGGACATTTTGTTTTCCGATAGTTTATTTGTTATTTATTTATTATATCAAACCCATCATATACCCAAAGGCTTCATGCTAAAATAATTCCCCCGCTAAGACTTTACACTTCACCTTGTATTTTGAAAGACTGACGGTAAGTTTGTGAACAACATAGAGATGCACTGAAATTTCAGCCATTAAATTGCCACTTTTACTTTTGGCTAAAAGAGAAACAAGGCTGAAAAAATGTTTTAAATATGTCTACAACATTATGTCAAAATGTAACACTTGACAAACAATTGTTAAATGCAATAAAAATGAAAAACAGTGATTAAACATTGTGTCTCTTCCCTTCGCTCTCTATGTCACGGTTTCTACGAGGAACGTGAGACAAGTGATTTGTAATCACTGTTCATGCCGAGTGTCAAGATCTTCTCCATTAAAGGTTTGATACCACTTGAAAACAAGACATCCTGCTCAATATGCATAATACAACAAAACCACAGAAGTCGACAGAGCAAAAATCCCTGCTAGCATGCTGTTGCCATCTTCAGCTACAGTTTTTGAAATGATGAACAACAGTGTAAAGTATAACTTAAATGAATAATGGAATTCAAAAACAACTGTTTTTGTTTTCTGTTTTGGGCTGAGTGTTTTCCTAAATTTGGTTTTAGCCAAGAATTTTCATTTCAGTGCATCATTAGAAAATTATCTAAACGCTAAAAAAAATGTTTACACGAAGGGAAACATTCCCTGCAAATTAATTCAATGTGAAGCTGGGTCCATCTTCAGTCATTCCTTTAGCCTCGGCATATCTGAGACAAATCTGAACATAAATCTATACAAATTAACTTAATATTAAACACTGGAATAACTATCTGAGCTGTTCCTTGAAGAAACATAATTCCCACCATAAGTGCTTCTACACATGCTTCAGGGCGTGCAAGTTAACTCAGAGCAACTCGGAGCAAGTTATCGGTTGTAATTATCAGAAGTATTATCAATATCACAGGCGGTGATAATAACTGTGTTTTTCCATTTATCTGCAAACAATATATCAGCCACCAATGTATTGCACATTCCTAATAAGTACATCACCAAACACTTTTTAATCAACATGCTAAACTTAAATTACAAATTTATTACTTAGATTACTAAGCACATTAGACATCAAACATGTGACCTCACAAATTACCTCAGCTGAAGCTGAAACACAAATCTCTCAGCTTCTTACTTGTTTTCATGTGCATTGTAAATACAGTCACTACATAATGCGGAAAGAACTCTCATAGGCCACAGCAAGGAGGTGTTCCCAACAGTTAACAAGGCAAAACAAAAAAATGTACAAACACAAACAAAATCAAGTGAAAAGATCAGACTGTCAAAATGGGGGCTGATTGCTGTCAGTGAAATGAGAAAAAAAAAACAAGTCAAAGATTCTGTACAAAAGAGAGGCAAATAAAGGAAGAAGGACAGAGAACAAGGGAGAGACGTAGAAAAAGTGAAAAAGGGGAGAAGAGACTAGAGACAGCACACTGAAAGACACATTTCTGCTCTGAAACGCGGCAAGAGGGAGGGCGAGAACATTTGAGTAGGCGGAATTTAAATGGCGAGACTTTAAAAAAAAAAACTGCGTTCCACTGCATTCATCTCTTCTAGAAAATACCATCTGAACAACAAAGAGCACCAATAACGACATCTAAACAACCAGGGGCACAGAATGATATCTGATAGAATAATCTTCACTGTCAGGCCACACAGACACATCGCACAGGCCAAATGCCATCAATCCACACTTGGATCATAGTGAGTCAAAGCAAGTGAGGTTAATGTGCATACAAATCTTGCTAATATGTAAATGGTTGCTTTTCTTTTTTAATCCACTAGAACAGTTGTTCCTAACTATACAATGCAGGTAATATGCAGAAAAGACTGTCAAAGGCCACTGAGCAGGGCTGCGCGATGTGGATGAAATTCCATATTGTGAATACACTGCCACATATAATCTTGATACAATATACTGAATATAGACCATTCTAGCTAACTGGTTCAAAGTCAGAGTTGAAAACTCATTTTGGACATTAAACTTATTTGGACCTTTTTATTATTTTTCTTTGAGTGACCCTATACATTAAATATGTTTATTTTATTAAAAGAAATGATTGAACATTCCATTTTGTCACTACCAATACCATAATAACACCTCTGAAACTTCACCAAATGTTTAAGGAGTAACTATTTTAGCTAATTTTTGAGCGTAACTCAAAAAGATGGCCAGGACATGACTAGAAAATACAGCTTTGAACACATAAAATCTTAATATTTTTCATCAAAACACAACATTTTCTTAATTGCAGAAAATACGTGTTTCAGTAGTGAAAATTCATGAGGTTACACAGGGGAGGGCCAAATAATGGCTCAGCCTATGAACTAAGGTCTGAATAATTAAACCTTTTTTAAACAGTTTTAGTGTGGGGACTGGAGTTTGAACTAACAATGTTACAGTGTTTTACAATATACTGAATATAAATTGCTGAATTCTTCATATAAAGGGATGAAATATTAGTCTGCATTAATCTTTAAATGAACTGTATTATGTTTGTTGGATTATGTAAAAGTCAAACATCAATGTCGAACATTTTTCAGCTTTCTGTGATTTTGGCATTTTGAACCCCAATCTCAATGTTTTGCCTGCTCTGACACACCCAGTGCAACTATTTTCTATTTATTTGCTGAGTATTGGGGAAAAAAAAAACATATTTTTGCACCTGTTTTCACTTAGAAAATGAACAACAATGTAATTTGACCAGGGGTGCCCAAACTTTGGCATACGACTGTAAATGGTCATAAAAGGAACGCACTTAACGGAGGTTAGGATTTCACTGATATTTCAGACCAATATTTGATGACATATTTATTGTACTACAGAAAAGCAGAACATTTAGGCAATGCCGTGCTATTGTGCTAAAATGTCTGCACTTCCTGTATTTGTAACCCCCCCCAAAAAAGCTTCTTAATGTTAAGATCATCCTAACTAGTAGAGAAAGTGTGCTGTGTGATGCTCAGTCTACCAAAGAGTCATATCTGTGTTAAGATGCTTCTAAGAATCCCATCCCAACAAACCAAAAGGACCAGAGTTGGGATCCACTGCACCAGACACTCTCAGGAGTCAGGAGTAAAACATGTAGTAAGAGGTTTCACAGAAAACTGTGTGAGGCAAAAGAGGGGGATGTGACATGCAGAACACTTACCCCAGAAGCAGCTCAGGAGAGCGGTACCACCTTGTGGCCACGTATTCAGTGTAGTTAGCATCACTGCCTTCTGAGAGATTGCGGGCAAAACCTGGTGAAGAAAGAGAAAAGTGAGAAAAAAAGAAATAAAGAGAAAAATGGGAAAGAGACAGAGGCATACAAAGATGCAAAGTAACCGGCTTATCTCATGGATCTCTCCTTTTTCTGATATATGTGGCTTGTACTAAGGGTGGCAATATGGCACAGTACTTTTTCATAATAACGTTCCACAATATTTAGTCTTCCTGAGGTTTGTGAACAAGTTGGACGGACAAAATGCACCAATAAAACAGTACTGCCACTGTAAGTTACTGTAAGTTCAGTGTTTTTTTATTGTGTTTGCAAAAAAAAAAGTTAATAGGAGATATGGGAGAAAAGTCAAGCAACTGGTTAAAAAAAATATTAAGATAATATTAAAATTGAACAGACAGCTGCTTGTTACTGTGTAGATTATGTTGTTACTTTAAAATGATTGTTGTTTACAGGCTCTCTATAATTGGTTAAAAAAAAAAACATTCTTTTAATGATACATGCAGTTATTCAGTGCTCTAGAAGTAGAGATGACACCAATGATGCACTCTGTTCAGGGTACTGTGATGTAATTTATGATGGCAATAATAAATTGTCAGACTGCCAATGCCTTACACAATAATTTTATCATAATTCTGCTACTCGGTGCGGCCCAGCGCTCTTTTTGAGTCTTGATTTCTTTCAGGGTATGACAACGAATGTGGTGATGTGGTTAGAGTTAATAGTTAGGAGTGGACAGCGCTGAATGTACTGGTGGGCTTAAGTTAGTAGGTGTGTGGCAGATGACACTGAACATGCTGGTGAGGGTTAAGTTGATAGTTGGGAGCGGGACGGATGACACTGAACATGTTGGTGAGGGTTAAGTTGATAGTTGGGAGCATGACGGATGACACAGAACATGTTGGTGAGGGTTAAGTTGATAGTTGGGAGCATGACGGATGACACAGAACATGTTGGTGAGGGTTAAGTTGATAGTTGGGAGCGGGACGGATGACATTGAACATGCTGGCGTGGGTTACGTTGACGTTTGGAAGTGTTATGTATGATACTGAACGTGCTGCCGTGGGTTAAGTTGATAGAGGTGTTGTGTATGACACTCAATGTGATGTGGGTTTAGTTGATAGTTGGCAGTATGACAGATGATGCACACGCTGGTGTGGGTTAAGTTGACAGTTGGGACTGTGGTGCATGACACTGCGCATGCTGGTGAGGATCAAGTTGATGCGAGTGTGGCGGAATCATTTTAAGGTCTGAGATGTTGGGTCAGATTTTGTGGGAGTTTTGGGACCATGTAATCTATTAATGTCAAACGCATTGACTCAAAAAGAAGGTGTTTAGGTCTCAAGATGAGATTAGATTTGGCCCCATCATTTGAGTAAGAGAGAAAATAACTGAAAAAAAATTGTTCTTTAAATTGACATTGAATATTAAAATGTGTCAAATTGTCACATATGGATACAATGTGAGATGTCAAAATTTAAAGAAAGCAACTGTGTTAATTCTTTTTCTTTATATGCAATAACTTGATAATAAAATAATGAACCATTTTTTCAGTGCTTCCTTTTCCCTACTCCCTGCCAAAACCTTAGCCAGACTAAAACACATGCAAAACCTAGTGGCTAGCAGTCTTTCACAAACCAAACCAATAGCATATCATTCTTATCCCCTGTCAATCTGCAAATACAAATTACTTCTCACTTCATGGTCTTAGCTTTAAATATCTTCCCTGATCATAGAGCCCTTCTCATACACATTTAGGACAACTAGTCCAGAAATTTACCATCTCCTCTAAGTGTCAAGTTGTTAACTCTTACGTCTCCAAAATTTTAGAATTCAGACTATTTAATTCTCCAAACCCCCTGTTTTTCTATCTCTCACTTCAGTTGTTGATTTTTAGTTATGTTAACATGGTTGTTGTCCCCCACTCCCTTTATGTACAATGTAAATGCACTGCTGCTGTTTTCTACTGGATACTCATTATTACATGTTCTTTGCTGTCATATTATTCATTTTACTTTTGTTATCATTATATTATTATTAAATAAAGAAAAAGTGACAGGTGACATGAGCGAGACTGTGCACAACATTCAGACTTCTCAATTAATCTAGCTGTGTTCCCTGGGCTAAAAATAAAAAAGTCTTTGAGAGAAGTCTGCTGCTGCAGTTACAGTGAGTCATGCGCATTCTCCATGGCAGTCAGTGATCTGCTGAAAGCATATGAAGCGTGACTTTTTGCTTTTTGTGCAATTATATTCATCTTCCACCAGGTGGGGCATCGCGGTGGGGAATAATCATGCGTATTATACCAATTATATACATCTAAGTATAATTCACCGCAGAGTGGGTGCTATAGGTTGATGAAGAGCTGATGCGAGATCATATTATATATCATTTGTCCGTAAATCAAACATCCACAAGGCAAGGTACAATCTATTATCCTATTTATGTCTGTCTTGGGGTCAAGTTTGAGTTTAAGCACAGCGAGATCTCACACAGCACACAGTGTGATTAAGGGTGTCAATGATCCAGGATCAGCTGAATGCGGGCCAGACGAATTGACTCACCGAAATCACACAGCTTGAGGATGTCGTTGGAGCTGATGAGGAGATTTTCAGGCTTGATGTCTGAGAAGAGATACAGAGAGCAGGTTAGCATACGGGTATATACAAAAAATACAAAACATACTTTACACCACCTAAACAATGTAACAGTTGAGAAACACTAGGGATGTCACTATTAAAAGGTTTGAACACCCCCGGCCAAATTACACGTCTTCTTGATTTTCTAAGTGAGAACAAGTTCACTTGTCCTCTACAGGGAATAAACTTAAACATGACACTGTCCTGATAATTTTAGTGCACAATTTCTATTTATTTGCTTATTTTAACATATTGAAAAAATATAATAAAATGTGGTGTATTAAATATATTTTACATAAAATATAAAATGTGTCATAACTTGCATACAGGCCAACTTTTACTTTTTATTTTTTTCTCAATATGTTAAATTCAGCAAATAAACAGTAACAGTGCCTTAAAATATGCACAAATGTGTTCTCTGTAGAGGAGCTGTTTACCCATTTTCACTTAGAAAATACATTGTTGATTAAAGATTTAATTATTGTAATTCAAACAGAGCTCTCAAACTTTTGCATATAACTGTATATTAGTAATTGCTGATTTATTATTTTGCAGATTAAACAAGTAAGTAAAAGAAAAGGCCAAACAATGGCACTGAATGTATTCATATTTATTCATAGAGAAGGTAGATTTTAATTATTTTTTTTAAATCAACTAAACAAATATAACGGAGCAACTGTGACAACTAGAGATGTCCCAATCCATTTTTTTGGTGGATAATCTGATACTTTAGTCACATATTGACTGTTTTTATTATGTTTCATTTTGTTTTGACCCATGGTCCAAGTTAACCAAATAATCTGATTCTTCTGCTGCAGAAAATTCCCTCAATTTTTGATATGTGCAAAGTCATAAACACGCTAAACTTGTATGTTTTTATTTATTTATTGTGGATTCCTTACAGTTCTATGAAAAAGTTTGGGTGACCCAGTCAATTGATGTCTTGCTGATTTCTGAGTGAAAACAAGTTAACACATTTTCTACAGAGAACACACTTGTACATATTTTAATGTACAATTACTGTATATTTGTGAAAACAAAAAAAATATATATATAACACGAGACCTCTTCAAAAGTTAGTTTGTATGTTCTGTTTTTTCCCGTTTATTAAACTCAGTAAACAAATAGAAACTGGGCTATAAAATTGGCAGAAAAACAGCCATATTTAAGATCATTCTCTGTATTTAGACCGGGGTGTTCAACTTCCAAATTTTATAGTGTTGTTCTATTGCTCTAACATGCGAGCAGTGGCCTTCTTTTTTGTCTCGGTTTTGAGCATGCTGGTTTGAACCAGTAGTGGCACGGTGTGGCCAGTAAAGCAGAACGTGTCTCAAAGTGCCTGTGACATTTTCATTTTTAACCAGACCTGCAAGTTAATAAAGTGGCGGGTGTGTATTTGGTACATGCTTATGCCACTATACCACTCATAGTAAAAGACAGAAAATAACTCTGCACACACACATTTTACATGACCAAGTTAAGACAAAAGGCAGCTAGTGAACACTAGCTGTTTACATTACACACATTTAAACAGTAAATGCAGACATTTAGACCACTTTGCTACACGTGCCTGCAGCAGATAGTGGATAATGGACCATCTATGAGAGAAGTTTAAACAAAGTGTGGCAAAAAAAAACAAAGGGCAGGAACTGAATTGAGCTTAGTATAGCCGGACCCTAAAAATGTCTGGATCAGGACATCACTAGTGACAACTCTTAGAAATGCTAAATAATAAACACTGATATACACAGCTTTAACCCCACAAGGGGATTCCAAATAAGAAAACAATCAAACATGCATAACTAATCAGCATAAAGGTCATCACATCACCCCTTACCTCTGTGTACTATCTCGTTCTTATGGCACCAGTGGATTGCTTTGATCAGCTGATAAATGTAGCTTCGGACTTTATCAGGTGGTGCGCCATTGGGCATTTCCTCCAACAACTCCAACATGTTCTGAAATGTAAAATACAGAAAGAATTATACCTTCATTAAATTAAGCACCATTCATAAAGGCATCATACATTCAGTCTGGACAGTTTTCTTACAACTTTCATACACCTGGGAAAGAACTTCACTTACTGACTCTGATATCTTTTTAAAACTGTGCCCGCATGAGCATGTAGTTAGCAGGCATACGCGCAGTTTAAATGTATAGTTTTATATATTCATAATGCAAATAATGTGTTTTCCTTTTGAAATGGACTGAGGGCAAGGTTAGTCATTTCAGAGGCACATTTTTTCATTTCCATGTAGACAAAGACTACGGCTAATACCCCACATCAGTATGCAAACACAAATAATGATGCCTAGCCAACCCACTGCAAGCATAATGTCCTGTACCCTGAACATGCATTATTGTGTTAACTGTGGAGTTTATAAACCTCAGTAGCATGGACAATTTAGCATTAAGTACAATAATCATTAAAAATAAAAACTAAAAAATACTCAACATGATGATGTCAACATGATGATGCTCATTGTGGCCAAGATGTTCTTTTGCCCCAGCTTCAGGACGCACTCTGTCCGCATGTAATGTACAAAACTGGCACATGAGCCTAAGCTTGCAGTTTATGGGCAACATGCATGGAAAAGCACATTTCTCTGCTGCATGCATTTTCACTGAAAGGAAAGCTGTGCAAAATAAAGGAGGATCGCACAAAAAATGGGTGGAAACATTGGAAGTTTCAATAGACCAGCCGGACATACTCTACACGAGTTATAAAGTCCTAACAGATTTCTAAAATGAAACACAGAGCATCACAAACTTAGCCAGTCTTTTGTAGAAGGTACTGTCTTCTTGTTGTACACGTTAGACGATAAAGCTGAGAGAGAGTCAAGTGCCTAATAACGAACTCAAAATCCCAAATCTGGCTGTTATCGCACTTCACCAGGCTTGTTTGTGCTTTTATGCACACACAAAAAGCAATGTTTCTCACACATAGTTTATACTTTGCCAGTGTGCCAAGGTATATGGACACCTGCCAAAGTATATTTCTACTGTTTAAAAAAATACTGAGCATTTTTATTAATTTGTTTTGAAATAAATTCATTTGACACCTCCCCTGACCCATGAATGCAGCTCAGGCGAGAGGAGGGGGACAGTGAGAAAGTGGAAACAACAGGAAAATGAGCAGCACTTGCAAAGACGTTAGCTAGCTAAACGCATAACTAGCAAAGTGGTCCTGGCTAATTTGCTTTCTTAAATTCCGAAACTGTGATTACCACTGAGCAAGCTTTGACACTGGCAGCTGTGATAGAAAAACACCTAAACAACCTTGAATTAGCAAGAAATGAACCGAATACCATTCGCCAAATGTATAGTCTCATCTTCAGAGTCTGACCAAATCAGACTGAACTATAAAACTGCCGCAATATGAAGTTTAGCTTAGTTTTGTCAGTTTTTGCTAGATCAATATTAATGTTGTTTTGTTCCAGCCAGTCTGTTAAGCATCTTACAGCCCATTTTGTTTGGCGAATGGTATTCAGTTCGTGTGCCTTTATAACTGATCTTGGGTGCATACTGCAGTCATATCATGGCTCATCCATGCTGCACTTGCACTCATACAAAAGTACTTTGACACAACTCTTAATCATTGAATACAAGTGTTTCATTCAGTCCCATTACCACATGTGTACAAAATTACACACCTAGTCATGCAGTCTGCCTTTACAAACTTTTGTGAAAGAATGAGTTGTTCTAAAGAGCTCATTTCAGGCGTGGTACTGTTATAGGATGCCACCGTTGCAACAAGTCATTTTGTGAAATTTCTTCCCTCCTAGATAATCAACTGCGAGTGGTATTATTGACAAGTGGAAGCGTTTAGGAACCACAGCAACTCGGCCACGAAGTGACAGACCACGTAAAGTTACAGAGCGGGTTGCCAAGTGCTGAGGCGCATAGTGCATAAAAGTCACCAACACTCTGCTGACTCAATAACTGCAGAGTTCCAAACCTCCTCTGGCATCAACATCAGCACAAAAACTGTGTGCAGGGAGCTTCATGGCATGGGTTTCCATGGCCGAGCAGCTGCATGCAGACCTTACATCACCAAGCACAAAGCCAAGCATCAGATCAGATGGAGGGTGTAAAGCACGCTGCCACTGGACTCTGGAGCGGTGGAAACGTATTCTGTGGAGTGAGGAATCACACTTCTCTATCTGGCAGTCTGACGGACGAGTCTGGGTTTGGCGAATGCCAGGAGAACATTACCGGCTTGACTGCATTGTGCCAACTGTAAAGTTTGGTGGAGGAGGGATAATGCTATGGGGCTGTTTTTCAGGGGTTGGTCTAGGCCCCTTAGCTCAATTGAAGGGAAATCTTAATGCTTAGACCAAGACAAATGTATGCTTCCAACTTTGTGGGAACAGTTTGAGGAAGGCCCTTTTCTGTTCCAGCATGGCTGGGCCCCAGTGCACAAAGCAAGGTCTATAAAGGCATGGTTGGTTGAGTTTGGTGTGGAAGAACTTGACTGGCCTGCATAGAGCCCTGACCTCAACCCCATCAAACACCTTTGGGATAAACTAGAAGGGAGATTGAGGGCCAGGCCCTCTCATCCAACAATAGTGTCTGATTTCACAAATGCTCTTCTGGACGAATGAGCAAATATTCACACTGACACACTCCAAAATCTTGTAGAAAGCTTCCCAGAAGAGTGGAGCTGTTGTAGGCCCAAAGGGGGGACCAACTCCATGTTAATGCCTATGGATGTAGAATGGGATGTCATTAAAGCTCCTGTAGGTGTAATGTGTAGGAGTCCCAATACTTTTGTCTATATAGTGTACATATGGCCGTGTGTATAATTATCATATAGGCCTATTCACAGTTAGGACTGAACGTGATGCTATAGAGCATTGCGACCTAACCCAATAAAACAGCCCATACATAAAATAAAGCATGAAATATTAATTGATAGTCATTTTATAAGCTTTTCCATTTTTGTGATATAAAGTAATAAACTTGTGCATGTATAGCATTGTTTAGTATAGAAACCTTTACCTAGTAAGTAGACTTTTTAACCAACTCTACTTTATGCAAATGATAAGTTCCACAACCTCCTCCCCCATGGAATTTGCAATGTTGTGTTAGTTAATTGTACATTCACTTACGGACACTGCTTTTAATACTTCTTTGGCAGCTCTAGCTATGCCGGAATTTGAAACAAACATTCAGGTGACGTGCGTTCCTTTGTATGTTGCAGTTTTACAGTAAATACTTTAACTTAAAGCCTAGCTCTGAATATCATTCAAAGAGCCTGTTAGTCTGTTAGCTGAATATCAAGCTGATCAGCCTATGTTTAGTTGGTCACACCTGAAAGTGCATTTGTGAGATCCTGCATTTGTTCACTGTCCAAGCCAGGCGGCATGGGATTTTATTTAAGGAGGAAACCAAGGGTGGCGATAATAAGATAACAGAATGGCATAATTGGCTGCCATCCTATCAGCTACTTGCATGCAGTTTACGTAGTCACTAGGGGTTGACTGATATATTTTTTCAGGGCCAATACCGATACTGACTATTAGTAATCAAGGACATCAATAACTGATATTTGGACCCAATATTCATTTACCATAAATTTGATGTCTGTAGCATTAAAATATACAAGAAAGCAACTCTTACTCAGAGCTTACATTAAACGAATATTATAACATTACAAGAAATAAAGTGTTTTGGCTTTAGACAGCATAGGTTGCAAACACAGTGCCGTAAAACATTTCAAAGTAATCTATAAACAGTTAAAAATAAATAACTTAATAGCTGAATAGTTTAGTAGTTTAATAGTCAATGACATTTGTAAGAAAAAAGGAGCTCAAAAAGGGGGCACAAACACTTTAAATTCAAAACATTTTACAAGTATATATTATATTTACACAATTTTTATATAAAACTATTACATAAGATGAGACGCTGATGTAGTGCTGAAAGGGCACACATCAGGGGTGGAGTTTGCATTTTCAGTACAGTACAGTACGGTGCAAGCTAGAAAGCCTAAACAGGCTAAAAAAACATTACAGTAAGCATCTGAGCAATCATGCAGTAAAAACTGTCACTGATTTGTAAAAAGCAACAACGGTATATGAATGTTAACTTTTTAATGTTGTTAATAATGTTTATTTCATTTTGTCGTTCAACCAAAAATGTACTTCATGCGATAACAAGTAGTGCTTAGACGTGTTTAATGTTTCAAACGTATTCTGATTGGCTCCTGAAAATGTGATGCATGATTAAATGTAAACAGCATGTTTGGCCTAAGTAAAAGCGGTAGAACCTTTGGAAGTAGCAAGCTGCAGCCAGTTGTACTTTTAAGAAACAAAAGGAGAAATGAAAATGACCAGAAATTGTGTATAACTTATTTATAAAATAAAATTAATAAGTTATTTTACAAATAATTTACTGCTTTCTGGAGGCTTGTCTGCGTAGTTGGCCACCCACTGAGGTTCTGCTACAGCCATACATATTCCAAACACATTCAAACTGCATTGTTCAATCTCGACCTCTCGCTGTGGGAGCGCTGCTACCGCGTCTTTCACAAACAGAGAAAAGCATGTTTAATTGGATTTACTTCACACAGGGCGGGACATAGAGACAGGGTACAGAAGTGATGGTCGGTTGTACTTGATGTGTCATCCACATTTCAAGCAATCCAGTAATACTATAGGCAGGACATTGGGGCACATTACAGAAGTATGTTTTTTTGATCGTGGTTGCATCAGTTATGCGCATAAGTAACAAAGAGCATTTTATCAGCAAGCAAGCAAGTTCAAGCACTGATCCCGATCATCGTAAAAATGCTGAATATCGGCTCCACTTATCGATAGGGCCGATAATCAGCTGACCCCTAATAGTTACTATGCACTGACTGTCTTTTTTGTGATACATGCTGCTGTTCAGTGTTCTAAGGGTACTCACAATATCCACAATATACTCAGAAAAGCATAGTGCTATGTAATTCATCACAATAACAATAAACATATTGTTGATTATGACATTTTGTGAAACAATGCACATTTCAAAAGAGAACGGCAATGAATTTAAGAATCTTTCCCACTCCTACCACAAAGCAGAATTTCTTAGCCAGATAAACCAGTCAGGAGGAAAGGCAAGGCATATTCCTATTTAGCAAACCTAATTTTGGGCTTACATTATCCAGCTGATTGAAAAATCCTGCTTTGTAAAATACCCTCCTGGCAATGCCATTCACTGACAGATGTCAAAGATGCTCAAACACCATGTAAACCATCCACTCTGTGATGACTCCCACAGTCGACTCAAGGCAAACACTGAGTAAAGCCTGCACTTTGGACTAACCTTCTCCACAAGAGCACTCTGGGCAAACTTTCTTAAACATCAGGTGAAACAATAAAACAAACACCATATAACCATTAGGTATGGCATGCATTTCATCAACACTATCTGAACATCAGATTAAGCATGCACTTTGAAGCTGATCTTCTCCACATACTAAAAGACCAGGTAATTAACAGGCAAACACCATAAATAACCACCATAGCACCAGTTAAGCAGCAGATGAAGTGTGCACTTTTGACTGACCTTCTCCACATACTCAAACACCAGGTAGAGTTTCCCCCGGCGGCGGAACGCCTCCTTTAGCTCTACTATGTTCTCCTGCTTTAGGGTGCGGAGCATCTTCAGCTCGCGCAGCGTCGTCTCCTTCACCTCTTCATTCTCTGTAAGGAGAAACAGGAAGGGATCAGACTGCAGCTCCTGCTTTTTAACCCTTATAGCATTAGTTATGTACGCTGACAACTGTTTAATAAGGTCTCATTAATGAGATCAGTCTTTCTTGCCTCTCTATTTTGTTTCAACAATAACACACACATTGCACATATGTATTATTTACAAAAACTTCTTTAGTGTTTTCTTTTGTTTTGCAATATAAGTTTCTGAAATATTTTATAAAATTCAGCTACCAACATGCAGTAACAGTTACAAATTACATTCAACACTGAATGGAAAAGCTAATAAATTAGTCAGCTATAAAATGCATAACTAAAGCCAAAACTGAAGCATGGTCATGATGCAAATAAGGGACAGTGTGTCACAGACACGAACAACATGCAATAACAGTCATTCAATCATCCTTTACCTTCACTGTCCTTAAACTTCTTTATGGCCACAAGCTCTTTCGTCTCCTGTGAAGCAGATATGCAAAGCAGTGTGAATTCTGTCCTTTTTGCTATCAAAAGGCTTTCATCTGTCTCTCAGTACAGCAGCATGGATACTGAATGGCTAAGAACTGCTCTAAGGGATGGCTTTCTAAATACAGATTAATCCTTAACATACTTAAATTGTCCATCAATTAAGAATTCCTATTCACAGTGTAATTTAGCCAGAGACTAGCCTTAGTTATTAACTGAACAGGCCATAATGGATTTAGTCTTTGAAGCTGCACCAGCGGAACTGTCAGAGGAACCTCTTCTCCCATGCTAATAAAGGTTATAGTTTGTTAAGAAAATTGTAGGGTGAACTGCTGATTAATACAAAACATTGTCTAAAACAAAGCCATAACGACAAAATGCCAATTACTACTAATCACATTTAAAGCTGTCACTATCGATTACATTAGTAATTGAGTAATCTGATGATTAATTTGCTGATTAATCAAATAATCAGAGTTTTTTGAAAAAAGGCCAAGCAATTAAAATGGAAAGTGAACAATAACACACTATGGGTCACCTTTCAAATCTTCTGGAAACGTCACTGGGAAGTGATAAACAGTTTACAATATGCATTATGAACATTCAGAGTAATTAAGCTTAATAAAGTAATCCTGACAGGCCCATCATATTTCTAATAAATGTGTAACAATGCATTGTAAAATCATAATATCGCAAAACTAACTCCAGCACTCCTCCTGCCTCCCAACTCTGGTGTCATGTCTAACTTTTGCAACTACATGCTAACAGTTATTAACAGTTTTTATAACTAATACTAACACTAATTAGTACAGTATAAACACAATGTCGTCATGCACAATTGGTGGGAAGCAGTCATTAGCTCTGAACCACTCACAGCTAGTGTTCCACCATGTCAAAGTCCTGCTGCTACTGGTGTTAATGTCCAACCATCATTCTGCACCCGGGTACACTCATATTTCACAACAACTCTCCACTGCAGTGTCACAGTACGCTGTGCACTAATGGCCAAAATGCAGGGCTGTATAGCACTAGCACTACTTGCACTCGCTACTTGAAGTCCTTCCATTTTCATGAGAAAAAACACCTGCAAATTCTGTTAACAGAAATATGAACAGTATAATGGATGGTGGGCAATGCAGAGGGTTGATTTATTTGTAAATGATATAATTAGATCTTCCTGTAGGCCACTTTATCCAAAAGTCTTTTCAAATACTGTTTTGGAGGGAGGGTCGAATAGTGTATGATACTACTCTACTGTAAAGCTGCGCTTACCAACTGTTTGGAAGGGCAGCCCATTATCAAACTGTGACTTAATTCATAGCTAGACTTCAAGGCCATGTGCCACTGGATGTCTGAACTGTGGTAGCCCCAATGCTGCTATGAAAAACCAGGAAAAACACCAAAACACAGTTCTAAAATGCTACTCTAAACAAATGCAGCTACAGGCACAGTACAGAGAGCATTACTGAGCAAGAGCAGCATCTCAAAGATTGAAAACCTCTTTCAATTCCTACCTGTGCTGCCATTTGGCATAATTTGACAGCAATTAACAAAGGCTGAAGTCCACCTATACTGATTGACAGGGCTACATAATATTATATAAGCCCTACTGGTTTGAAGACACAGGGTCGAATAGGATGACCTACATATCAAAGGATGTCAAAACTCACACAGGTTATGAAGTAATGCACAGGGTGGGGCTGATAGATATGCCATTGTGCAGTGTCGATGGCTGACAGACATCATGATGTTGAGCTAGCATCGTGATTCCACACCACCACCACCGACAGCGGGGGGGGGGGCCTTAGCAAAGTCAATATAAGAAAGTCTGTTCACTCAGCGGCCATCTATGCAATGCCGCTGGTCAGTTATTTCTAGTCATACAAGACCAGGCTCCTATCTCTTTGAACATAAAGGGACCAAAGTACCCAAAACTGAAAGCCAAATTACTGTTTCAAAAACATAACTGAACTGTCCGAAAAAATGTGACAAAAACTTCATAAATGGTTTGTAGCGTTTGGCTCTGTAACGCACAAAACCCGTGATTTTTGGGCTTGTTCTGGCTACCACGCTTGCGCCGATCTCCACAACAGAGGGAGGCTTTCCCAACTAGTGCCACAATATTATCGACATTTCTCTGCTCACAGTATAACCAGCAAGCTCACTGGCTCTTTTTATTGAAGGACAGGAGTTTCTCCGTAAACAGACACCATGTTGAGCACTGAGGTTTCATATTCATATTTCAACCAGTGAGCAGTCTCTTCATTTATAATGTCTCTGGCTTTAGTCAGAGGATCCCATTTACAGCCTAATGTGACACCAATTATTCACACTAATAAAGTTAAAAAATTAAATTTAAACTTTTGTGTTTACACTGAGAGTCAGGTACAGACAAAGATCCCTTTTTGCCGCAATGTCTAATGTAGAAATCTGTTTTTTAAACCAGCATTTCAATAAAGCTCCTTGTAGTTTTACTATGGTAGCTACCTATTTTAGCATCAAGTTTTTCTGTCAGCTCTGGTTTAATTTATAGCTCATAACAGGCTTTTTTTAAACATTGTTTAAACTTTGTATGTCTCCGGTTTTAAGTAACGTTTATTTTGAATGATCCCCTACCACCCCCATGTCATAGCCCACCGCAGAGTTTCCCTCTAGACATCGTAATATGCCAGTCATCACCCAACCCTAATCAGAAATTGTGAACAATGTGAATCAAACCATACAATGGCAAACAACAAACAGCTCAGTCAAATTCACCATAGATTGGCTTTTAGTTCAGTTCAGCTAGACAGAAGCAAAGCGCTGCAATAAAGTAGACATGTTTTCATTCCCTTATGACCTCAGGCCAACTTTCCTTGTCCTTTACATTTTTTTGCTTTAATACATGCCTGTAAAACACGTCAAATGATCTTACAGATTCATACAACAATATTTAGATAATGTCAAATAACGCACAATAATATTAGACCCACAAGATTGCTCTGAATGCTCCCTTGTGTAAACTTTTCTTGAGACAATGGCTGCTGTTACACAGTAGTTTGGAAGACATTTTTTTATAGATACTGGTAAACATAACAATTAATCACAATTTGTTGGATACAGAAAAAAAGCCACCAAACAAAGCCTCAAATGTATTAGCACTAGCATTATGACGCAGCTGTACTTGGACCTAATATTAGGGCCTGACCAATATAACGATATGTATTGATTTACATTAAGGTTCCACAATCCTACTGGTAGTAGCAAAAATGCATAATAAGAAAATATTTCTTTGAAGTTGTTTGTTTTATATTACGAGGAATACAGATCTCTAAAGTGAAGAAAATCATCAGTTCCTTACAATATTAAAGGTCACATGTTTTTATACCACACTATACAGTGCACGTGTCAAGCTCCAGTCCTAACGGGCCAAAACACTGAAGACTTCAGCACACTGCCTCATTAAACACACCTGATTCAGCTCATCAGATAATTAGCAAGGTCTTCATAAACTGAATTCAGAGCGTTGGATGAGGGTAGACGCTAATATCTGCAGCACTTTGTCCTGGAAGGTCCCCAGTATGCCTGCTATAGCGCGATCTTTAGCTTTAATATCAGAATCACTGTCTGTGACAAAAGTTTCCTATCAGTTGGACCCTACCTAATATGACCCACTGAGAAGTACCAGGAGTATCTGGAGTACACAGGAGTTCAACTTATAAAGTAATAATGGCATTCAGTCAGTTCTATACCCACCTTATTTTTCATGTGACCACTGTGTTTAGAGATTAGAAATTTCCAGTTAAGAAATGGAAGTGCTGTTCGTTACTGTTTTTAGTGAAGTCAAAGAAAGTGTGCTTACTTATTAAGTTATCGTTTTCATACTGTTAAATGTCTCTGAGGCATGAACAACGTGCAGTTTGCGGCTGTCACTACAGCTAAGCAAAAAAGAAAGTATGGCAAGAACAGCAAGCATGAGAATTAAATGGTTTCATGATGACTCACTGAAAAAGCCCAGTTGTTAGCATTGAAATCTGCGCTCATTAAATTGAACCAGACAACGCACTGCTGCTAACAGACTTTCTTTAACTGGTTTACTCTTGAAATTCTTTTTATAACTGGCTATTTTCTACCCTCACTAGAGTAGGCTGAGCACGTCAACAGAAATTGTTAGCTAACTGGCTAACAGACTAATCCTACAATAATGAAAGACAGCCTTTAAAAGAAAGTTCAAGTTTAAAAGAATATTCAAGCCTTTAATAAAGCAGTTACCTAAAAACTGTGACGTACAAAGTCAAACTTCAATAGAGCGGCAAGCTAACCCCACCAGCTTAATACCAATATTCCATGATGAACATACAAGGAGCATTTATAGTACAGATTTCTATATTAGACATTGCTATGTAATTGCTTTACAGCTTTCTGCCTGTACCTGACTCTTAGAGTAAACACAATTAAAAAGTACAAATGACATGACTTTATTAGCATGAGTAATTTGTGTAGCTAAAGCGTTTAAGCATCTAAAGCAACATGAACATTCCCAATATCATTCATTTATATTTTTAATTATTTCCACATTTCTGACATGTTAGCATTTAAAGTATTGTGCATTTACGCTCCGCTCTGAAAGTTCTGTCCATAAGGCACTCAAAGCATCACTGGGCGTAGGAATAAGTTGGATACGACTGCATGTAAAAAATCCAGAACCTCACATTCCAAAAAAGACTCACTCCTCTGTAGGCCAATCACTGTCATAATCACCAGCCCCACAGAGCTCACCATGCGCGCCTGATTCCGAGCGTCATCTTATCTCCGTGGCCGACTGTGCTGTAACAGGCACTTTGAAGCCTTTGTCACATCCTTTCTCCTCAGAGGAGCCGCTCATCATCCTCGCTTCAAAAAGCATCCTGGCAGGGATACTCCGATTGTGAAAAGAAACGATTCGGTGTCAAGCCAGACCTGTTAACCTGGAGCGAGGAGTGTTCTCTTTACTGCAGTCCTGGGCTTGCAGTATG